ATGTCTGTCCTCTGGGAGTAACATTCTGGAGGAGGAGGTCAGGTGGTGGCCAAACAAGCAAGAACATGGTGTTTAGGTGATGGGGTAAGGTTAGAAGAAAAGCTTCAGCAGAGGGGGGTGTAATGCCTCATGCCTGTGAACTCAGTGCTTTGGATGCTGAAGCAGGAAGATGAAGAGTTCAAGACCAGCCTGGGCTACACAGCAACACTCTGTCTCAAAAAGCAAAACAAACAGATAAAAACACTAGAAGTGATAGGTATGATGTCAGGACTGAAGAAGGCCTTGGTAAGAAGGTGACACTTAAGGCAGAAGTGACTGTGACAGGTAAGTGGACCTGTGGAGCCATCTAGGCAGAGAGGATCAGCTGGTGTAGAGACCCCGAGATGGGCGTGTGCCTGGCAGTTCAGAAGAAGCGGGTGGTTGGGCTGGCTGGCCCCCTCTAGGCCAGGGGCCATGGATATGATTTCAGTTCCCCGAGCAAGCCTTGGTTCCTATCTGAATGCAGAGGACGCATCTCAAGTTCAGTGCGGTCAGGTCACTGGCAGAGGGCCATATAGCTAGTGAGGATATACAGCCAGGGTCTCACAGAACTCTTTATGGCTGAGGGTGCTGCTGGGAGCACAGTGCAGTGGCTGTTGGGAATTGAGGGTCTCAGCACTGAGCTCAGCCCTCATGGCCACCTCTACTCCTGCCCTGTCCACAGTGCGCCAAGTGCCGGGAGTCATTCCATGGGAGCCCTCTAGGTGGCCAGCAGTGTTACCGACTCATCTCAGTGGAACAGGAATGCTGCCTGGACCCTACTTCCCAGACCAATTGCTTCCATGAGCCCAAACGCCGGGCCCTGGGTCCTGGCCGCACAGTACTTTTTGGTGTGCAGCCCAAGTTCACCAACGTGGACATTCGCCTGACACTAGATGTGACCTTCGGTGCTGTGGACCTCTATGTCTCCACCTCCTATGACACCTTTGTGGTCCGAGTGGCCCCTGACACAGGTGTCCACACTGTACATATCCAGCCTCCTCCACCTCCCCCACCTCCTCCACCTCCTGCTGATGGTGGACCCAGGGTGGCTGGGGACCTAGGAGGACTGGGGACTGGGAGTGGACCGGGTACTCCGGTAGAGCCACGAGTCCGGGAGGTGTGGCCCCGGGGCCTGATTACCTACGTGACAGTGACGGAACCGTCGGCAGTGCTTGTGGTTCGAAGTGTGCGGGACAGGCTGGTGATCACCTACCCCCACGAGCACCACGCCCTCAAATCAAGCCGCTTCTACCTGCTGCTGCTGGGCGTGGGAGATCCCAGTGGGCCTGGTGCCAATGGATCGGCAGACTCACAGGGCCTGCTCTTCTTCCGGCAAGACCAGGCCCATATTGACCTGTTTGTCTTCTTCTCCGTCTTCTTCTCCTGCTTCTTCCTCTTCCTCTCACTCTGTGTGCTCCTCTGGAAGGCCAAGCAGGCCCTGGACCAGCGACAAGAGCAGCGTCGGCACCTGCAGGAGATGACCAAGATGGCCAGCCGCCCCTTTGCCAAGGTCACTGTCTGCTTCCCTCCAGACCCTATGGGCCCAGCCCCTGCTTGGAAGCCAGCTGGGCTCCCACCTCCTGCCTTCCGCCGCTCTGAGCCTTTCCTAGCACCCCTACTGCTGACAGGAGCTGGGGGGCCCTGGGGACCCATGGGAGGGGGGTGCTGCCCACCAGCCCTCCCTGCTACCACAGCTGGCCTACGAGCTGGACCCATCACTCTTGAGCCCACAGAAGATGGCATGGCTGGTGTGGCTACTCTGCTGCTCCAGCTGCCTGGGGGCCCTCATGCTCCCAATGGGGCCTGCCTTGGATCAGCCCTTGTCACGCTTCGGCATAGGCTGCATGAGTACTGTGGGGGCAGTGGGAGTGCTGGAGGCAGTGGGCATGGGGGTGGTGGAGGCCGGAAGGGACTGTTGAGCCAGGACAATCTCACTAGCATGTCCCTTTGATCTGTCAAGGGTCCTCTTCCACAGCCGCCAAGTCACCTGTTGGGGCCACTCTGGACAGTCCTCAGAAACCTCTGGCTCCCTTTTCCCAGGGTTCCCCTTTGTTTCTGCATTTAGTGACGATTTATTGAGCTGCTGCTTTGTGCCTAGCACAGAGAAAAGCAGTAGGTGAGAGGACCTTCCCTGATGTGGTGGGACTTGGGTTCTTGGAAGGAGACACACACACACATGCACACGTACACTTATGCACACACTGGTTCAGAGAAGAAGAATATTAGCAAGGTCTAACACCGAGGGATTGTGGGTAAAGGCAATTAGGCATTTGGAGAAACCAGGCTGAGAAAGGCGACGGTCTGAGAGAAGACCTCTGGGAAATGAATTCAGAGTTGAGGAAACTGTAAGGCTGAAGGTCCTGAGGCTGGAACCAGTTTGTTCTATTAGGAGAACCAGAAACGTGGTCACTGCAACCCAGATCAAGTGTCAGAGGAGGCCGGGCACAGTTGGGACCTTGGGTTTTATTCTCAGAGCAGTGGGAAGCTGTTGGGCAGTTCTGTGGTGGGGAATGAGGAGCTATGTCTATTCAAGAAGTACCCCGGCTATGGAGTGAAGAGTGGGCTGGAGGGACAGGAGAGGCTGCAGGTGAGTAACGGTGGCAGGAGGAGGGTGGTGGCGGCGATGGTGAGTCAGGATCAGGTGCAGGGTGAGTGACAGGGTGGGACAGCAGTACAGATGGTAGGGTGAGGAAGAGGACATATCCAGAATGGCCACTTTATAGCCTGGGCCATCGGCACACAGTGAGGCCATTACTAAGATGGGGCAGGCTGGGGCTTGTGGGAAAAACAGAAGAGTCTGGTTTGGGCTTGAGTCAGGTCTACCTGGGGCTTCACACAGAAAGCACTTTGAGTATTTCAACAGGAGGGATCCAGGGTAGTGAACCAAGGCCGGCAGCTACTGAGAAGACACAGTGTAGTGTCCTTTCGTGTGTAGGGGTAGGAGCAATCAGCTGCTACTGCTTTCCCTGGGCTGGAGGGACAGAGTTCAGTGGTGACCTGAGTGAGACCCGGATCACCACTGAGGCTGGAAATTCAGGCTTGTTTCAAGGGAGCCTTAGAGGAAAGTCCTCTGCCTGAGATGCCTCACAATCCTCTCTGGCAGGTGTGGGGTGGCAGTGGGATGGGGGACCCTGGAGGGACCATCACTTGGCTCTCTTTCTTGAGTCTTTGGGGCTCTCCCCACAGGCCGCTCCCACCTGGACCTCCTTTTTGGACAAAGGAGCTCTTCTAACCCTTGAGGACTCCCTTCCCCCAATCCTAGGCAGCTCCCTGAGCTTGGGACTCTTGCTTTCCCAAGACTGCAACTTCCAGGTGCTGTTTTGGCCCTGGGGTGGGGCTTGGGCCCAGCTTCTTCCCCTTGCTGGGGTTCCCCTAGTCTGAGAGGCCCCTGCTGCTGTGTGCATGTCAGATAGCAGGGGTCAACATCTCAACAACAGGAGAGCAGCTGAAGCAGCAAATAAAGTGTGGGGAAGTCTTGGTTGCCTTCTCTGTGCAGGGGAGGGAGGGGTGGGTTCTGGGTGAGTGGAACCTGTGTCCTTGTCCCGGTCCCACCTCAAGACCGTGTATCCTGAGCCTGGCTCTGCCCATCTTTGGCAACGGAAGCATGCCACAGCGGGATCTCTGGTTCCCCAGAAGCGAGATGAGGGAAACAGTGGGCAGGGCCATCTTTGTCCCTGACACAGGTTGGCTCAGGAAGAAACAGACAGCTTGTGTCCAGGCATTGTCATTAGACAAGAAAAACCTGGGGTATAGAACACAGAAACCATACTATTTCAACTGGAGGAACTGAGCATGGAGAACTGGTAGTGCTGGTGAGGGCAGCAGCTGGGAAGACACTGAACAGTGTGACAGCTGGGTGCGGATGGGCATTCTCTGATTGAAGCATACCCAGCATCAAAGCTGTAAAAGCACCATGCTTAACCATCTTAGCCTTCAGCCCCTGGCTTTGCCAAAACCTCAGTATGAGGGCAGGTTTGGACCTGAGATCTCTGCCCTCAGCCTCACCCCGGCATGGATCTTTTGCTGCAGGTGCTCAGCAGTGCACCTTCTCTGTATGCTTACCCCAACACAAGTCACTTCTTCAGTGCACAGCCAAGGACATGGCAGATTAGACTTGGGAGATGTTCAAGTTTCCCATGTGGCTCATGAGTGACATGGGGTTTTCAGACGTCACTGGCCCCATGAGTTTTGCCTTTATGAGAAGATGGTGACTCCTACCCTCTGAGGTGTGAGCATAAACTTGACTTTTTAAAAATTTATTTATGTGTATGTATAGATGCACGTGAGTGCAGGTGCACAGGCAGGCCAGAAGAGGGCCTCAGATCCCCTGGAAGAGTTACGGGGAGTTGTAAGCTGCCATATAGGTGCTGTGAACCAAACCCAAGTCCTCCCCAAGAGCAGCCAGTGCTCTTAACCGCTGAGCCATCCCTCCAGAATAGTTTTTTTTTTTTTTTTTTTTTTTTACAAATTAGGAACCGCTACCCTCAGAGGAGAAAACAGGCTCAGAAAGGTTTACAAACTCAATAAAAATAACACAGAAGTGGCAAGGTTAAGACTGGATCCAGGAACTCTGAGACCCAAGCATGTTCAATTAGTTCCTTTGGCAGTGAATATCACCATGTTGAGTTAAGGAGTATGATGGGTTAGCTTGTCAGGACAACCTTTGGGGGTCTTTTCCCCAAAGGCCCATCTTGTATGGAGGCTGATTATAGGGGACTCAACGTCCTCTCCTGCTCTCTGGGCATCATACATGGTGTGTGCAGGTACAACACCCTTGCACATACACATAAAATTAACACCTCCCCCCGCCCTGAGACAGTGTTTCTCTGTGTAGCCCTGGCTGTTCTGGAACTAGCTCTGTAGATCAGGCTGGCCTTGAACTCGGTGATCTGCCTGCTTCTGCCTCAACGAGTGCTGGGAATAAAGAAGTGCACCACCACCACCTGGCCTAAAAGTCTTTTAAAAAGAGTCTATAGATCTTAAACAGGGGACAGCATTGTTTGAAGAGTGTCTTTTTTTTTTTTTTTTCTCTTCATTTTAAAAGCTTTTTTATTTGAGGCAGGGTCTCAGTGTGTGGCCAGGCTGGCCTCATACCATGCACCCCAGGCAGCCCGGTTCCTAAACTTCCTGTCTTAGCATGCTGCTGGGATTAGAGTAGGCTCCAGCACCTTGCTTTCTTGCTTTGAATATTTTCAGGATGTAGTAGAGGTTCAGATAGGCCATCTGCAGCTTCAGGGCTAATGGTTTCACTCTGTGAGATGCCTACAGGGAGACTCAGCAGAGTCATCTCTGCAGCCTGTCCTATTAAACCAGTCTTGTGTGATACACCTAGACATCCTTCATGCATCCCACCTCCCTCAGCAAACCTCCCACTGCACCCAGATTCCTTTCCTGCGACAATAAAAAGCGTGTAGGCGGGGTTGGTTTTCCGGTTTTTATTGTGGGTGTATTTTTTTTGGCGGTGGCACAGGGTCAGTGGGACAGGCTTTCCAAAGAGCACCCCCCTCCCCAGGAGGCCAGGCGTGACCAAGGACTCCCGGAGAGGACGTCCTTACTCGCGGATCTTCAGTTCCCGTGCCATCTGACAGAGGGCGCAGGGCAGGCAAAAGGTGAGGGTAGCCCAGTCGTGCCCGACGGAGCCCTGGAGAGTGGCAAAGAGAGAAACCGATAGAGGTCAGGAGCTTTGCTTTGGGGTCCCAGGCCGCGGGTCCCCAGTGCTCAGTCCCGGTGATCCTGGATTGGCACGTACCTGGATGTGGTAGCGCTCCCGCATGCCTGTGCGCAGAGAGTGCAGGCCTCCGGGCAGGTACGGCGCGCAGCAGCACTCCCCGAAGTCGTCAGAGATGCGACAGGCGAGGCACAGTGGAGCAAAAGTGCCGCACAGACCTGGACGGGGCGGGACGGTCAGGGTCCGGACCGCTGTGCTAGTCCCCGGGGGAGGGCACACGGAGGGGATGAGGGTCCCCGGAGGACAGGTGTAGAGAAGGAAACCCAAAGAACCAAAGTAATCAGGGTCCGGAGTGGGGAGGACTAGCGGCTGGAGAGGGAGTGAGGTCACCATGAGGAAGGAGGCTGGGGGCTAGATGGTGAGATCCCAGGCAGAGTGAAGATTGCAGAGCCCCACAAAGGCGGAGGTTGAAAGGCATAGAAAGGGTTTGGAGGAGTTTGGGCACTCACAGACGGGCATGTCGTTGCAGCAGTCGGTGAGGCCCGTGTGCCAATCGCTGAGCTGTGTCTGGTAGCAGGTATTGGCACACTGAGGCTGACTGGTCACTGGATAAGACATGGCTGTGGAGGTAGGAGAAGAGGGTCAGCAGGCATCCTCGCAGGGCCTTCCGGCCCACCACATCCCTGCCACCCTTCCTTCTGCCGGGCAGTCTGGGCAGGCCACCTGGCCGCCCACTTGAGGAAACATCACTGTACCCCTCCCATTCCCATCTGTCACATTTGGTCATCATCACCCCTAGTCTGTCCCTGTTGCTGTTGCCAACTATACATCTGGTTGAGCCAAGGTTGGGAGAAAAAGTGGGCACCACAGTTGGGCAGAGCCTGGACTTGCGACCACCTCCTCCTTCACGACTGGGCTCCAGCATTTCAGGGGCCTCTGGGGTAGAAGCAGGTGCCATTTATCTTCGAAGCCAGGGTGCCCAGGGGAGGGAGGTAGCCAGGTTCCTGCCTGGCACCTGGAAGGTTGTTGGTCCATCCAGTGATCCCACCTTTGCCTTTCACGTTGTCGTGCATCTCAAACTGCATTTCGCTGGCCCTGAGGAGGTGGCTGCTGTGTGGACGGCTGCAGGGGATGGCTACGGCAACAGCTACCGCAACGGAGTCTGTCCAAGGGATGCTGGATACTGGGCAAGGGACTAGGGCAGTGGGGCTGGGGTGGGGTGGCTGGACTCTCGAGGGAAGGGAGCTGAAGAGAAAGAGGCTGTGTTAGCCTGTTAGCTAGGAGGGATAGGGTGGGGCGAACAAGTCGCCCATCTTTTAAACCACTGCCCGACAGACCCCAGAGGACTCTTCTTGGAGCAGAGGCAGAGAGAGCAAGAGACAGGGACAGGTGTGGCAGAGACAAGGTGGGAAAGAGCTCTGAGCCAGGTGCCCACGAGACATTGCTAGTGAAACCCACAAGTGTAAAGTGCTTTGTTGCCTCTGCAAGCCAATTTCACCGAGGGCCATAGGCTCAGAGATGAAGACAAGTGTACTGTGTCTGATAGACCAAGCCAAACAGGCTAGGAGATTGGGTGCTGCGCCCCAGAATTTCTAAATTCAGCTCAGTACCACTTGGGTTTGACAGGCAAGACTGGGAAGATGGGGCGTTGGGAGAGAACAAGATTCCCAGTTACTGACAGTCAAGAGACTGAAAGTCAAGAGACAGAAAGGAGACTGTGAACCAGGTAGGTGGAGGAGAGAGCGAGCCAAGGGGCCCTGCCTGAGAGCAGAGGCTTTGGGGAGAGAAGGTGCTCCTACCTGCAGACCCACGTGAGGAGGTGGAGACAGAGGTTCTTGGTGACTCGCAGACGCTAAGTTCTCAGTGTCAGGCCAGGAGCTGCTTATATGGGCCAGGCCACACAGCCTTGGGCGGGGCTCTGACAGAGATGCCTAGGGAGCCCAGCCGGTCTGCCTGACCCTCTTCCTTTCCGCCTGGATTTTCCACCTTCTCTCCATTCCCCACACCCCTCTTCCCTTCTTGTTCCATCGTTCAGGACTGAAGACCTGGGGCAGATGTAGAAACCAGAGCGGGGCGAGATAGAGAGTCAGGGATGGAGGATATTCGAAAAGCATGGAGGTCCCAAAGAGAGGGAAGATGGAGATGAGGAGGGTGTGGGGACACAGGGACCGAAGGGAGGCGGGGAAATGGATGATGGGAGAGAGGAGACTGAGAGATGGAGATGGGAAGACAAAGATGTTGAGAGATAGACATGTAAGATCTGGAGAGAAATAACGTGTAAAATCTGGAGAGAGAGAGAGAGAGAGAGAGAGAGAGAGAGAGAGAGAGAGCACAGAAGGACCTGTGGCTGAGGGCAGGGCTAAGGGACCAGTGAGGTAGGGAAGGAGTGAGGGGCTAGGGAGGTGAGGGGAAGGCCTGGTCTGCTGTACAGAGTGGGTTTTCCTTTGAGTACCGTCTCATCTTGCTGAGTGATTTTGTCGTGTTGAGGGGGAAAAAGGGGCATTGTTCTTTCTGTTCAAGGCCTGGAGACACGGGGTTTGGGGTGGGCAGTGTGTTTTAGGGAGTGATTCATATGGGGACCAAAGTAAATAAGCACACCTCATCTCCACTTCAAATGGGAAGGGAGGAGGCTGGGGACTGACGAGAAAGGCCAGGGTGTGCCTGGCTCTGTTTCTAACCTGAGGGGGTGGTCTGGAATGTGAGTCTGAGGGAGGCAGGCTGGGGCTTTGGCTCATGGGTCTGGAGGAGGAGGGCTGAGATCTGAGTACAAGGCGGGGAAGTTGGGATCTGCATCATGGGTCTGAGGGAAGAGTCTGGACCCCTGAACTGAGGGAGATGGGCTGGGTTGGGACCTGTGTGTTTGAGGGAGAAGAACTGAGCCTGGGTGTCTTAATCTAAAGGAGGATCTAGACCCTGATGTCCCTTGTCTAGACTGTGTGTTCCTAGAGAGCTAGATCCAAGTTTCCAATGAACTGGACTTCAGGGGTGAAGGGTATGGATACTTGATTCACCAAAGTTTTCTCCCAACAGGCCTGACAGGGTTGTGGGTGACTCAACAGGGAAGTGGCGTTAGAGTTGGGTGGGGTTCCTACCATGGGTGTCACCCCCAAAATATAGGAGGCACCAGAAAATTGGGGTGTCACCTCTAGAGAAGGCTGTGTCACCACACCACAGTGTATGGCGATCACCCGACGCCTGGCCTGCGATCCCAGCTTTCTCCACATACCCAACACTCTAGGGCCCAAACCTTTGTCTCTTGGCAGCACCCAAATGGCCGACTCGCTTTGTCCCCAGATCCACAGCAGCAGCGAGCATCATTTTGCTTGTGCGTCTCTGTCTTCTGGTGTGGGGCCTACATATTTGGTTGACATTTCCCACTTCATTTTTGAGTGCCTGTCTCCTTATTGCCATGTCTTTGTCCAGCTCTAAATTAATCCTGTGCTTTCTCCCTCCCTCCCTCTACCTCCTTCCCTCCCTCCCTCCCTCTCCCTCCCTCCCTCCTTTTCTCCTTCATTCCTTTTTTTTTTTTTTTTTTTTGCTTTTGAGACAGGCTCTCATGTAGCCCAGGCTGGCCTCCAACTCCCTGTGTAGCTGAGGATGACCTTGGATTTCTTGCCTCCACCTCCAAGTACTGAGATTATGGGCATGCACAAACAAAATTATGGAGTCTGTCTGGGACTGGGCATCAAACCCAGGGACTTGTCTATGCTAGGCAAGCAGTCTGCCAGCTGAGCTATGTTCGCAGCTAGCTCCCTTCCTCCTTTTTATTATTTCTTTATATTTATTTATTTATTTATTTTTGGTTTTTTGGAGACAGGGTTTCTCTGTGTAGCTTTGTGCCTTTCCTGGAACTCACTCTGTAGACCAGGCTGTCCTCGAACTCACAGAGATCCGCCTGGCTCTGCCTCCCGAGTGCTGGGATTAAAGACGTGCGCCACCACTGCCCGGCCTATTTCTTTATTTTGAGGCAGGGTTTTACTCTTATGTTGCTAGACTAGCTTCAACTTACGGTGATCCTCCTGCCTCAGCCTCCTGAGTTCTTGGATTGCAAGCACCAGCCGTCACGTCCCTTCCTTTCGTTCCCCATCTTTGCAACCATTTTGACTCGTGCGTGTTTGTGTCCCCATTTCTTGGTCTCTGTCCTCTCAGAGCCCGTGCCTGTGTCTCCCCATCGTGGGGCTTCTGTCTTGGATCACAGGTCTTCTCCCTCTCTCACTCCTTTTTTAAGGCCCCTTCCCCATACTACAGAAAATGGACTGCAAGTGACTCAGGGTCAGTCATAACCGAGGACCACAGGCTCCCAAGGGGACAACCTGAGTTGTCCCTGGGTTTGCTGATGTAGCCTGAGGACCCCCAACTAGATACAGCCACTCATGCAGACGAGGACACTGGGGCTGGGGAAGTTGTGACGTGGCTGGAAGTGGGAATTCGGAGGAGAGAACCAGAAGCAGGAAGAGAGGAGGTGCTTGACCTTGTCCCCCCTTAAGTGGTGGACAGATTAAATATACAGTGCTTGGTTCCATTTTTAATTTTTGTTTTGTTTTGGGACAGGGTTTCTCTGTGGAGCCCTGGCTATCCTGGAACTCACTCTGTAGACCAGGCTAGCCTCAAACTCAGAGATCTGCCTGCCTCTGCTGAGATTAAAGGCATGCCCCACCACAGCCTGGCTTTCTTTCTTTCTCTATTTATTTATTTATTGATATAATTCTATATTTACTTATTTGTGTGTGTGTGTGTGTGTGTGTGTGTGTGTGTGTGTGTGTGTGTGTGTAGATATTTTGCCTGTATGTATGTTTGTGTACCATGAGCATGCCTGCTACCCACGGAGGGCCAGAAAAGGGTGCTAGATTCTTCCTTGGAGCTAGAGTTACAGATAGCTGTGAGCCACCATGTGGGTGCTTGGAATTGAACCTGGGACCTATGAAGGAACGGCCAGTGCTCTTAACCTCTGAGCCATCTCTCCAGTACCCCCCTTTTAAAATTGTATATGTGCACACATTAATGTGTGAACTGGGGTCAGAGGGCCACTTGGGGGACTTGGTTCTCTAGGATTGAACTCGGGTTGTTAGGGTTCAGCAGTAAGTGCCTTTTCCTGCTGAGCCATCTCACTGGCTCCCGAAAGTCCAGTTGTGTTTTGAGATAGCATCTCAAAATGAAGCCTAGGCTGTCCTTGAATTTAGGATTTTCCTGCCCCAACATGAGGGCTGGATTATGTGTGTGCACCACCACACTTGGCTTCACTTGGAATTTCAGAGAAACGGTGAATATATTGCCAATGTTGTTACATGGGAACATACTTCTGTTAAAACAGAATCTTATTATTTACTGGAAATCCAGATTGCATTGGGCTTCATGTATTTTATTCACCATGACTGGAGCTTTGCCTTCAACAGCAAAACCCAGTAGGGGTGTGGCCCTGCCTTCCCAGAGCCTGGATGCCCAGGTCCCAGTCTCCTCCCCTCCCTCAAAGTGTGCCTGGCACCCCAGCCCCCTGCCCCCTCAGGACACCAGAGTCAGGTGTTCCAACTCATCTCTCCCCAGAATTCAGGCATCCACATTTGAGCCCAGTTGCCCAACATGAGTTTCACAAGCCAGACAGGTTAGGCCATCCATGGCCCTGGTGGAACCAGTCTGGCTGAGAGAGCAAGTGGGGGCCCCCCTTTCCATCCTAAGCCTACTGTTTCCTTGAGGACCAACCCAGCAGAACAGGAGGGACTTGGGGAGCTTTAGGTGTGCCACTCACTGCCTGGTTTGGGTGTGTTGTGTCTCTCTGTGTGGTTATGTGACTGTATGTGACTTTTAAAAATAACTCTTTTAGGCAGGATTTTTTTCTTTTCTTTTCTTTTTGTTTTCAATACATTCTGATTGCAATCTCCCCCCACCTTCCACTCCTCCCAGTCCCCATCACCCCCAGATCCACTCCTCCCCTTTCCCTTCAGAAAAGAGTAGGCCTCCCGGGGATATCAGTCAAACACCATACAAGGTACAATAAGACTGGGCAAAAACCCTCAGATCAAGGCTCGACAAGGCAAACCAGTAGGAAGAAAAGGGTCCCAAGAGTCAGAGACACCCCCACTCCTACTGTCAGGAGTCCCACAGAAACATTCAGCTAATAACCATGGCATGTATTCAGAGGACCTGGAGCATACCCCTGCAGGCTCCGTGATTGCCCCTTCAGCCTCTGTGAGCCCCTACCAGCCCTGCTTAGTTGGTTCTGTGCACTACCTCATGTATCCCAGGCTTGTCTTAAACCCACCAGTGTGGCTTGAACATACTAGGTAGCCTGAGCTGGCAATAGGTTTCCTGCTTCAGTCTCCTGAGTGCTGGCGCTGTGCACGGGTACCACCACTCTCTGCTTTTGTTGGTTTGTTTGTGGGTTTTTTTTTCCCCGAGACAGAGTTTCTCTGCGTCGTTTTGGTGCCTGTCCTGGACCTTGCTCTGTAGCTCAGGCTGGCCTGGAACTCACAGAGATCCTCCTGGCCCTGCCTCCGGAGTGCTGGAATTAAAGGAGAGCACCACTGCCGCCTGGCTGTTGGTGTTTTTTTGAGACAAAGTGCCACTACTGTAGTGTAAGCTGTTTCTTTGACTCTTTTAGAAAATTAATACTGGACCAGTGAAATGTCTCAGCGCTAAGGGTACTTGCTGCCAAGTCTAATCCCTAGGATCCACGTGGTAGAAAGAGAATTAACTCCTATAAGTTGACCTCTGACCTTCATATGCTTGTTCCGTGCACAGCGCACTCATACACACACAAATAATAAAATAAATAAATAAGTGTACATGCAGAAGCCAGAGGGCAGCATGTGTTTCCAAGGATGGAACTAGGGTCAACTCAGGTCAACTCAGGTCAACCCAGGTCGGCAGGGTCACTCAGCAAGTCTCTTTACCAGATGAGGAACTTCGCAGACCCTTCTTCGAGTACTGATGTGCCCATTGCCATCGTGGAGCAGAGCAGCTGCGGTGACCTGAGACCTTGGCCGGATGTCATGGCAACGGTAGTAGACATCTAGGCCTAAGGGAAGGGGGTTATTAACATTCCCTTTGCGAGGGTGAAGAAGGTCACAAAACTGTCATGAGATCACCCCAAGACTCCCCTGAAATTCCAGTCACCATTCCCTCTTGCCCCAGCTCTACATACCCCTAGAAATGCTAACATATGGAAGAGGCAGGCATTGACGGAGGGTGGGACTTTCAATGGTTCTCCTCCATAGGCCACTCTGGACATGTAAGTAACCCCACTAAATTTATCTATTTTTGCCAAGTTATTCCTGGTAGAATCGTTCTTTGGTCTGTCTGTGCTCTCTCAATTGAGGAGTAAATAGATAGTTTTCTTGCCTTTCCTCAGGAAAGTCATACAACAAACAGCCATATAGCCCGGTGGGGGCGGGGTGTGTGTGTCTAGAATTCGCCGTACAGCCCCGGTTCATCTTGAACTTGCAATCATCTTGCCTCGGTGCTGGGATCACAGCCATGTACCAGTGTACCCAGCTATGATATATCTTTATTGATTGGCACATGACCTTAGGTCATAGACTGTTGAGCTTGGGAGCCTGGGTTTTAATCCTGATCGCTTCTTTATTTTATTACTTTTATTTATTTGCTTGTGTGTGCCATGGCACATGTGTAGAGGTCAGAGGACAACATAGGAGAGCCAGTTCTTTCCTTTTGCCATGTGGGTCCCAGGGATCAAACTCAGGTTGTCAGTCTCCCCTCCCCCACCATTGCCGCCGGCTATGATAACTTGGAACACGTTTGTCAAACTTCTCTTGACCTCAGTTTTTCCATCTGTGAGACTGATTGTGTCAAATAGCATTGTTGAGAGGTTGGAGCAAAGATGTTTGGTGTGAAAGGCTTGGAACTGTACGTGGACACAGGCAGGAAACACCGTGCTTGTGGTAATGACAGTGGTGCTTATGTGTTCAGCCTGTTGCTCTGGATACAACAAGGAACACAACCAAGTCTCTTGCTCATGCTCCTTCCAGCAAGCTTATTGGTGGCTGGTCACGTAATTGCACCACTGGGGTGTCTGTTTTGCCTGTGTTAGGAGGATATTTCTGTCAGTGCAGCTGATTCTGTGGTTGTGGGGCCATGTTTTGTTTGTGTTCATAGGATGCTATATGTGCTCTGTGGGTGCTGACATAGTAAGTTTTCACACCTAACTTGTATTGTGAGGGCTCACATTTGGTGTGATCTTGTGTCTCTGACTGAGGTGCTGGGAGTGTGTCTGAAGCAGGAGTCTTGGGGACACCTCTTTCAGTCCCTGAGGACTGCTGGAAGCTGAGTGCTCCCAAAATAAGCTCCAGTTTCTGCTCACTGGGGTTGGTTGGTCCAGTGGCTTATGGAGAAGCACAGGATGAAAGGGAAGGGGAGAAAAGATGGTGTGGCCAGGGAGACTCTAAGGAGTATGATGGCAGCACAGGGGGTAATGGCAGGGTGGGGAAGAGCTTCCTGGAGAGATGTGGACATCTGTCCATCCGTCTGTCCGTCCATCCATCCTATGCATCTATGGAGTCTCTGAAGTGTGTTGAGGTCTGAAGGGAGGTCCTCACATGTGTTCATAATGTGTTACAGCAACAGTTCTAAGTGATGGAGAGACAGATTAGGAGAGGGAAGGCCTGTCCCTAGTCCTCTCTGAGGTATGAGCTCTATCCAAATTAGAGAGCAGAGGCTGTGAGGCAAAGGCCCCTCCCAGACTGAGGTACCCCCATGAAACATTTTCTTATCTCCTGCTGGCATAATGACATACTTGCCTGTTCTTAATCACTATTTTTGACCCCAACTTGGCTCAGCACCAACAGCAAGAAGGCTTGGACAAGGCTGAAACCATGGGAGTCAGGGAAGAAAAATCCTTGGAAGTCTTCATCTTTTGGCTCTGTCTCCCTTGAGTCCTAGTCTCCTGCGGTGGTATTGTCTGCCACTTCATGGAGCCCTAGCTCTCACATTCCCTCCCCTTTGTTTGCTGTAGGTCATTTCCTCTTTCTTTCTGGGCCTGCCTTATCCATTCATCTTGTTTTCATCTGTGTTGTGTTCTTTTTACATCTGTATTTTTTCCCTACCTATATCTCTATCTTGATTGTCCTGCACTGGACTTCAATTTTCTCACTTGTAAAATGAGGATAATAATAATAATGACAACACTAATTAAGCTCCAATCGCTTAGGACTATGAGGAAGACACGGAATAATTATGTGAATGCTTCAGTACAGAACCCAGGCTTCAGTAAACTCAGTACAAGAGAACTGTTATTATTGTTTTATTGTTTTTATCTCTTCTTTGGTGTCTTTGTGTTCCTTTTTCCTTGTCTCCACATTATCCTCAAGGCTCCTCCCATTCTTTTTTTTTTTTTTTGGATCTGAGGATCGAACCCAGGGCCTTGTGCTTGCTAGGCAAGCGCTCTACCACTGAGCTAAATCCCCAACCCCCTCCCATTCTTTGTTTCAGCAAGCTCTGCCCCTGACTTTCTTGGTAGGGACACAGGTAAGAATGACATCCAGGCTAGAGATCCCCTCCTACCTCCCTTGTAGTCTGTGCTCCACCTCAGGCCTCAGAAATCTTGCCTGGGGGTGAGGCATGGCCCCAACCCCACAAACAGCCTCATAAAATCCTGAACCCCAGATCTGTCATCCAGAGCAGGTAAACCAGAGTGACTCATAGGACCCTGGAGTTCAAATTCCTGGACTCCTATTTTTTAGGTTCCTAATTCTCTGGACCCTCAGACACAAAAATCCTGACCACGAATTTCTTCCCTCTTGGGTCCTAAGTGCCCTTGCTCCTTTAGGATCAAGGAGTGTGGCTTCTTTTTACCAAGACCCAAGGACTGCAGCTGGGTATGATGCAAGTCTACAATCCTAAACGCAAATCAGAGGCCACTCTGGGTAACATAGTGAGTTCAAGCCCTGTCTGTGTAATTTAGTGAGATGCTGTTTCAAAATAAGGAAGGGTTGAGGTTCAGTGCCCGGTAGTAGAAACCTTGTGTAGCATACGGAAAGGCCTGGGTTCAATCCCCAGTACTGGGGAAAAGGAGGGGAGAAAAAAGAAGAATTAGAACGCCTGGAAACACCCCAGGTTCCAGAGGCTAAAAACCCTATTCTTGGCCATTCCGATTATGCCCTCAGCAGCCTTCGCGCTCTCCAGAGGAGGACCTGACGCTCCCTATGGGCGCTTTTCTGAATGGGCGGGGCTGCAGTCCAGGTTGGACAGCGATAGGCTCTGAAAGACGTCATTCTCCGCTAGTTTAGGCCAATCTGCCAATAGACAGGGAACCTGCCTCGTAGGGCTCGGGTCGGGTCGGCTAAAGGCCGAAGGGGTTCCCGAGGAAACGAGCTCATCTGGTTGGTCCCGGTAAGTCCTTTCCCGAATGACCAGTACTGGGGTTCTGGACATAGCTTGCAGCGGCGGCGTTGAGGGAGGTCGCTATTGGAGAAACTGAGTTCAGGGATGCGCAACCTCAGAAATGCACCTATCGATTCTATGTTCCTTACCTGTCCTGCGCATCCCTCGGTTCGTCACTTCCTGCTGTCGTGAATTCACTCGCGGTTCTCTTTATAGTCATCTATTCACTCAGCGCTCACTCACTCACCCACTCATCACTTAACAAACATTTCCTAGGCTTCTGGTGTGCCAGGCCTGAAGCTGGGGACTGTGGTGATCAAGATGAGTCAGACCTGGGCGCTGTCCTCAAGGGAGCTCGGGTTAGAGGGAAGGACAGGCATTGGTGGTCAAGGGCGTGAAGGGGTAGGGAGGCACAGGAATCTTTTTGGGGGATTGGCATGGTCAGCAAAGAATTTCCAGAGAAGGGGCCACTGGCGCTGGTCCTTGGAAGAGCACTAGGTGGCAGTACAGGTTGTGAGAGGGTTTCAGCCTGTGCAAAGTCAGAGAGGCCTGGAGGTGCATCACCACGTTTAGGTGCCCAAATAGAAGACCCACGCTGTACTGTACCGCCAGGGGAGCTGTAAGGCTGGAAGGAGATGAGGAGGTGAGCCCCAGGTAGAGTGAGGAACTTGGTGTGTACGTGCGTGCGTGCGTGCATAAGTGGAGGACCACTGGCTGTGTTAGTGCCAGGGATGGGCTAAGGCAGAGCAGGGACCAGAGCTGGAGGTGTGAGACTGGAATTTCTGTCAGTACACCAGGTGGTGGCCTCTCCAGTGCCTAGGGAGAACAGGGTGGAACCTGGATCTGGCCAGAGGCTAAAGGGATGAGACAGGAGGTAGAGGCAGAACTTGTGGTAGGTGGGCTGTAGGGACAAAGGAGTCTCCAGGACAAGACCCAGGGCTGTTGTTTATCTCGGGGGCTGTACTTGATGAGCTGGGAGCGGAATGAAGGTGTGTTCAGTGCATGGATATAAATCCTTTCGGGAATTCTAGGTTGAGGGTTTTGTTGTTTTTCAGGGTCTTACTCTGGGCCACAGTTTGGGGCCAGCCTGGGCTACATAACGACCTCACTATTCACTATATATCTCAGAGGGACCTCAAACAGATGGTACTCCTGCTTCAGCCTTCCAAGCACTGGGGTTCTAAGTGTGAGCCATCTTGTATAATATTGGAGGGACTAGCCTTAATATTAATACTTCCCAGGGGCTCAGGAGAGAAACTTCGAACGGCGAGGACTATTTTTGGGAAATAGAATCTCAGCACACCGAGCTCTTTAGTCCACTTGCTTTAATTCCTCTGGGATAACATCCCATTTACACAGCTTCAGTTCTGTTCTTGTGCCTAGCTCCTTTCTTGCCTGATTTCTCTCTATATTTATCTACTGTTCCCTCTAAGTTCTATCTTAATTCTGCCTCATCCAGGTCCTTTTCATTTTGTTCTTACCCAGCTAGTACTTCCCCATTTGACTCTTCCTCATCTTCCATCTCGTCCACATGTTCTCTCTGGTCAAAATCCTCCTTATCCCTCTCTGTTCTCCATCTCTAAGTTCTCCATGTTCCTCCTAAGTCTCCCAGGAATCCAGTTATAAACCCAAGCAATAGCAATCCCCTGGTCGAGCAAGGTCACCAGGCTTGAGTTCTACAGGGTCATAAAGGCAGGTAAGAATTTTCCTCAGGCAGTGACCACCAGGCTTTCTTTTACAACCCAAAAATGAGAGTGGTAAAAGAGGAGGTCAACTGAGTGCTAATGACCGATTAGTATATCAAAAAGGGGGTCTATGTGCTCAGTCTACATTCCTAGAAGTGGTTAGGTAAGAAGTTAGGGGTCTATTAGTAAGGTTGTATAAGGAAGGAGGGTCTCACCCTAAATTGCACAAGAAATAAAGCTATCTGCTGACCTAGGAGACAGGTGTTGTTTCATATGGCCTTGGATGCTTGATAGGTACTTTAGATAAATACACTGTTAGGAGTTCTTTAGAAGCACACAAGAAAATCATTTTAGGAACCAGCTAATATATATATATAAGCTAAAATATCACCAAGACTTCTTAAGCCATGGATTGACCTTTGGAGAAGTCCTTGACTTTTCCAAGTAGTAGCTTTTGTGATAGTAGCTGAATTCCATTACGTTTTCCTGCAGCTTGCAGCACCACACCTGGCTTTCCATGTCAGGTTTTGATTCAGAAGTTACCTGGGTAAATTAGGATCCCTGAGGTAGGGGGTCCCCTGCTACCCTTTCCTTTAAGAAACCAGTTGTGGTTCTATGTCTGTCTCTCCATTTCTGACACGATTAAAACTGGTCCATCTTCTCTGCACCCCACCTCATCAAGGTCCTGTCAGTCACCATCTCATCCCTTTAACTTCTATAGACATGTGGTGTTCACTGGCTCAGCCCCTTATCTTCCATTCCCTCTTCAGCTCACCACATTTGGATGCCATGACTCTGGCCAAGGTCTGTGGCAGCACGTGCTCATTCATGGGCGAGGCCCCCAGGATAGCATTTCAGTCTGTCATGGACCACTCCCTCCTTCTGGAAACTTCCTTTACAGCCTCTTCTCTCCTGCCTCCCTTCTTCTCCAGCTGATCCTCAGAACATTCCAACAGGGGCTTCTCATGACCCCTTCCTTTATTGTGGGCCATAAGCTTCAGGGCTCTGTCTGTTCTGGCCCCTTCCAATCCTACCTTGCCTATTCTTTCAAGAATGATCTTAGTTTTGGGTTCCAGCTAGAGTGAAACACATACCCCTCTCCAGTCTCCTGGATGCCTCCGTGAAGTGTCTCATGGAATAACCTCTGGGCATCCCCTGTCCCCAGTCTCTCCACAGGCACTTGAGCTCTCCTCCCAGTCAACAGGCTGCCTCATTGTCCACTTGCTTTATGGCTAGACCTCAGAGTCATGCTTGTATCTTTGCTCTGTTATAATCCAATCCCTACCTTAACTGTTTCACTCATGCAACCTCATTGCTGGCTCTGGGATGCTCCCTACCCTCATGGCCTCTACTCCAGCCCAGACCTTGCCTTAACTTGTCCCCAGGCCTCTCCTTTGCCTCCAGGGTTCCAGTCCATCCCCAGTGCCTTAGCATATTCTTCAGCACTTTGACCCTCATGAGGATCCTAGCTGCTCTTCAGCTGTTACATACAATTTCCTGGTATGGAAGAAGCCTCGATCACTACTTACTGTCATGGTTCTCTGCCGAGCAAGTTTGTGCTCCTATTTTTTTTTTTTTAATTATGTGTGTGTTTTGTCTGCATGTCGTCTGTGCACCATATGCATACCTGGTGCCCTGTGGAGCATCTATGAGCTCCCACATGGGTTCTGTCAATTGAACCCGGGTTCTCTGGAAAAGCATTTAGTGCTCTGTCTTAACCACTGAGCCAGCTCTCCAGGCCTGTGCTTTTTTAAGGTCAAGTCCATCTCTTCTGTGAAACCTTCTCTGACCATCATTGCACAGACTCCCTGAACTACGGATCAGTAGCCTTAGGAGCAGGCCTTGGGTTTAAATTGCCTCACTAGACTCAAGGTCTACCAGGGGGCAGGCCTCTGAGGCTTTAAGGACTATCTCAGGCAGGTAGAACTTGCATCTTAAGTGGTTTTGGTTGCGAGCAAAGCTAGTCCCGGTCCACAAATCCTAGTTTCCCCCTTTAGCAGACGCTTGAACCCAGTGCTGCCACCTGCTGGGCAAACACATTCCGTATTTTTAAAAAGGCCTAACTAATTAAATAGCTTTTATTTACAAAAGACAAAACCGACTAGCCATGGTCGGTCTCAACAGCAGTAGAAGGCAGTGGTGGAGTGAAGGTCCAGCTGTCTTGGTGACAGGTGTGTGTGCGTCCCCCTCTCCCAGGCTCGGCTTTCGGTCCCCACCCCGCCCCACTTACGGTTCCCAATTAAGGCACAGCCCGCCCCCTCCCGCCCAGCCTGACCAAGGGGCCCCGCTGGGCCTAGAGCCCGACCCGTCCCGGAGCGCACTCATCACGGAGGCCCGCGCAGATGGGAGCAAGAGGTCTTTTAGTGCCGCCCCCCGCCGTCCCCAGCTCCGGCTCAGCTCAGCGGTGCGGCAGGCGGGGTGAGGACGAGCCGGATGCGCTGCACGCACAACTCCGTGGCCTGCCGGGTCTCGCGGCACAGCGCCGCCAGGCTCAAGAAGCCATGCGGCAGGTCCTCTACCACATTCAGCGTCACGGGCTGGCCCAGGTCGCGCAGCCGCCGCGCGAACATGACTGAGTCGTCCAGCATGGGGTCCAGAGCGCACGCCTGGAGAGAGTGGGGGTCAGGGTAGGAGGGAAGGTTAAGCACGTGGACACGGATATGGAGTGAACAGAGGCCGGGCGTGGGGAATGAGGAGTCGGGGAGAGAGTGGGCGGAAAGGGAAACAGGAGGAAATGAGGTGAACTGAATCCTCAACCTTTACCCAGCCCTGCCCCTATCTTTTCCACCCGCCCAAACCTTGTACCCAATAAAAGTACAAGATAACAGATTCCCTGGTTTGCCCAGCTACCGGGGCACTTGCTAGTTCTTTTCCCCAGGGCACCCATGTCCCACCCCCACCACCCTCCAGCGGCACCCTGCCCGGCCTTGTTCTCACCACAATGTGCACAGGCGGCAGGGTCTTCAGCATGCTGTCAGGGGCCAGCAGAGGAGACATGAAGGGGTTCTTGACGATGGGTGACGAGTAGAGGGGCATGTGGAGGATACCCTGGCTTGAGCGCCTGGGGTGGAAACCCTCAGGGAACGCAGCGCGCACTCGGGGGGCTCTGTCCATGGTGCCCACATCATCTTTGGCTTCACCCTCTTCGTGGAAATTCTCAGGCCTCAGAAAAAAGTTGACATCGGAGGGTGTGGAGGGGCCAAGTGTCTCCATTGACATCGACATCTCGGGGGTGTCTGATGTCTCTGAGTTGCCTTTAAAGCTCAAGTCCTTTATTGTCAGGGTCTTTAGGGTATCTGTACCCAGCAAGCCCTCGGGCTGGGCCAGGGCTGCTTCAGACACACTCCTGCGCATTGACTCCGTGGGGCGAACGACCTCTGTAGGAAGGGCAAAGACAGAGGCTGCCTGAGGCCAGAAGATAAGCCTGGCAGTGAGCAGGGTGTTCGGATGGCAGATAGGGTAGGTCAGTAGAAGGAGAGTGGCCTGTGTGGGGAGGTCCAGGACATCCCCCTCCCCCCAGACTCTAGGGTGAGTGTGGGTGGGGCGTTTGTGTCCAGGATTGCAATTGGAAAGCTGGTAGTCTTGGAGATGGGGCTGTGTTGTAGGGCAGGGTGTGCATGTATAGACTGGGAAGTGCAAATCAGTTGACTTCTGGGAGCTTCCATCTTTCCCTCTGTATAAATGATATATAGTTCTTAGCTTCTAAGTTATAAGAATATAAGAACTCAGAGGGATAAGATAGGAATAGCTATCATTTCCTCCAGAGGGATCATGATGTATCAGGATTTTTTTGTGTCTGTGCTGCTGGGGATAGAACCCAGAGCTTTGCATATGCCAACTCCCAGCCCCTCACAGGTGGGTTCTAGGCAGATGCTCCACTGCAGAGCTGGTTTTTACATCCCCTGGCGGGCATTAAGGTTTGACTGCCAGGCAGCATGCTCTGCTGTAGCTGCCTCTGGGCTCCCCAGCAGGAGGTTCAGCCAGCCTTTTATGACCCCTTGACCAAGGGGCATGAATGAACTCATATAGCTGGACAGGGGCTTCTCTTAACAGGCAGCTAACAGTCTTCAGGGTGTGTTACTCTCCCAGAGAGCTTGCATCTATAGCCAGGTGGATCTGCTCTCCAAAATGTCTTTCATGTCTCCATTTTATCCCTTTCCACTGAGCAAACGGGCAAGCAAGTGCCCAGATGATGTGTGTCTAGCCCACATGGCACAGACATCTTGGAGGCACTGGGCCTCCAGCCTGTTAATTTAATTGGATCTTCACTGCTTCTTGTTTTACGGCTTATGCTGTTTTATTTCGGACAGTGCTGCTCTGTAGCCCTGGCTTGCCCAAAATGGGATCCTCCTGCTTCAGTGATGCAGCACTACACATGGTCCTACCTTTCAGTTCCTACAACTTGCCTTTATCAACCTATGAGGGCAAAGTGCAGAGCAATGTAAGAATAATCACTTAGGTGCTGTGTCACCCAGAGTCACTGGGACAAAACTGTAGACATAGGACATGGAATTCTAGTATGTTTTGAGAGCACCTGTGTGCCAGGCACTGTGTTGGCATTTGACATAATGTGGGTAGCAGTCCTCACTATGACTCCACAAGGCAAATAATCTCATACCCATTTCACGGAGTGACAAACTAAGGGTTATAGATGCTAATATTTGTCCATTAACCCAGCAGTGAGTGAGGCACTGATGGAGTGAGAAGCTGGGCTGGAGGGTGTGCCTCCCAGGACACCTTTTGGGGACCTTTCTCCTACAGAGAACCCCACCCCCAGGGCTCAGTGGTCCCTTGCCTCAAATTCAATTCCCTTTTAACTTGTGTGTGTGTCTGCATTTCCTGAAGATTCTAAAATTAGAACCTTAACTTACAGTAAAACACATGTGAACTGAAAAAACTTTGTGTGCGTGTTTGTGTGTGTGTGTGAGAGAGAGAGATGAGAGAGACAGAGATAGAGATAGATAGATAGATAGAGAGAGAGAGAGAGAGAGAGAGAGAGAGGGAGGGATATCACTCTCGGGTGTTACTCTTCAGGGCACCGTCCACCTTGGGCTTTTCTTTATCTTTCTTACATTTTTATTGTGTGTGGGTGTGCACGTGTGGAGGTCAGATGACAATGTTTAGGAATAGACTCTTGCCTTCCTCCATGTGAACCCTAGGATTGAACTCGGGTCAGGCTTAGCAGCAGGCACTGAGTCACGTCAGCAGCCTCCACTGTGGCCTTTCACTGCCTTTGCCCAGACTTGCACTCCAGTAAGTCCCAGGGACTCGCCTGACTCTGCCCACCCAGGGCTGCGATTACGGCATGCACCACCACAACTGGCTTTATATGGTTTGGTCCAAAACCATATATATCAGGTTCTCATACTTGCCCAGCAGGCTCTTTGCTTCTTGAGACATTTTCCCAGCCCCCTGAAGAATGGGTTTGTTGTTGTTGAGATAGGGGTCTCTCTGTGTAGCTCTGTCTAGCCTGGAATGGGAACCAGGCTGGCCTCAAACTCACAGAGATCTTGTCTCTGTTTCCCAAGTGCTGGGATTAAAAGTGTTCATCACTAAATCTGGCCATGAGAGAGTTGTTTTTTTTTTTTGGGGGGGGCAGTTCCTGGGATTGTGAAATCACTTGGGGGAAGCAGAAGTAAGTCTGGGAATTTTCTGGATGGCATCTGCTGGGGAAAACCCAGGGCTTGTCTTGTTGTAGGGACAAGGACAGAGCCAGCCAGAAAGGTGTCTTTGTAGCCCCATTGTGTCCTGGGGCTCTTGCTTTGTCTAGGCTGTCCTGGCTCGGTGCCGTGGAATACGCTCTAACTCACCTGCTGTGGGCGATGAGGCCTTTTGGGGCTTCCGTCCGCTTAGCTCCAGGAAGGAGTTGAGCCATGAGGAGGCACCCAGGCGCAGGTCTCTGAGGAATAGGGATGTGTCCCTCTGCACCAGCCCCATCATGCCCAGTGCCTTCTGGTCTGAGTCAGAGTGGTCCTCTATCTCTGTACCTGCAGAATGAATGCATGTGAGGGGCTGAGTTGGTCTCTCTTTCTAGGTGCAGTTCTAACACCCAGAACTTGGAGTAGCTGAGGCATGTAGGCATCCAGCTGCCATGCTGAGGGTATGGATCTTACCTGAATAGGCGCTGACACACTTAGAGAGCACGCTCAGTGGTAGAAGTGGGTCCATGAGGCTCAGAAGACGAGAGGGAGAGGCAGAGGGCTGTAGGGTGGTGACTGGGTAGGCTGCCATGATGCCATCTGGCACCCTCACTCCGTAGGCTGCTGCCCGAAGGGACACAGTGATGCAGAGGTTCCCGCCTGCACTGTCTCCTGCAAGGCATATCCGCTCTCCTGTTGAACCTGTTGTGGGGAGAAGGGTCCGGTCATAGCCTGGCATGACCTGGGAGAACTGGGCTCTCAGGTGGGGTAAGTAATTCCTAAGATCAAGCAGAATGCTATTTTAGTTACTGGCAAGAAGAAGCATGGATTTGGATCCCATGTGGTACGTAGTGGTTAGAGGATCGAGACAAAGTGCGGGGAAGCTGGGGAGCCTGAGGGGCAGCAGCAAGGGCAGGTGGTGCAAAGAGGGGCTCAGAGCAGTTTTCCCAAGACAAGGACATCAGGAGTTGGGAAACCGAAGGTCAGGGGGCTTCAGGCTGGGTACAGCCATGCTCTACTTTGTGCCCTGGTGTCTTCCTGAGATGTTGACATTCCAAGGGGGAGGTGCGAGGACCTGGCAAATAGGTAGGCATGTGAACCAGCAGACTGGCAGTTCAGGAGAGCAGGAGGTGGGCAGCTGGGGAAGAAAGGAGAGACAGCAGAGGAGGGACCAGAAATGAAGGCTGGAATAAGGAAGCAGGAGGCAGAGATGACGTGGCCAAGATGGGAGGTGGGCAGCAATGGGGCTAGCCCATAGCAGGGAGGAGGCAGATGGAGGGAGGGTGGGCTGGGTAGAGATGAGGCTGAGGCTTTAGGACCTAGGGACTTAGTGCCTCTGCAGGACAGGCCTGCAGGACAGGACAGGGGTTGAAGAAGGGTGGTTAGGGCAAGGATGGGGGCACGGGGTAGAGGCTGTGAAAGCAAGGACCTGGGTCTTACCGAGCAGGTCACAGTGCTTGACAGCCCAGCAGTAGGCATAAAAACACTCTTCCAGCGCTCTGGGGAAGGGGGCCTCAGGGGCCAGGGAGTAGTCGATGGAGATGATGGGGACACCTAGCTCCTGGGCCCAGTTCTTGAGGTAGGGCTCATGGGATTTGGAGGTCTGTGCCACAAAGCCACCACCATGGATGTGGACTACTAGGGCCCGTGAGCGGGGTGCTTGCTGGGGCCGTGGGCGCAGCTCCAGGCGTGGGCCCTCAGATTTCACCAGGCTGTTGAGCATCTTGCTGTCCTGGTGGTGAGGAGGGAGGAGGGTGGTCTGTCAGGGCCTTCTTTGACCCAGGGGGAAGGCTTGGGGGTTCAGGGTACTGAGGGGACGCTGCCACTGTCTGGGGCCAGGGGCTTACCTGTCCTTCCCGCAGGTCATAGGAGATGAGCCTGGCAAGCACAGGCCCTGGGCCCGTGTGTGCCAAGGGAGGTGAGATGGTAACTGTGAGCTTGGGGTCAGAGGTTAGCGGCATCTCAAAGGCCTCAGGTGGCAGGCTGAGCAGGCGGCTTACCCTCACAGTGGTTGATGCCATGTTAGCCAGGGACTGGGGAGGAACAGAAGGGATGCTAGCGAAGGGTTATGGAGGTGGTGGGGGTACATACCACATTCTTCCTGTCCCTAGCCCAGTCTTTCCCCTTATGTGCTATCCTTGAACCCAGGGCCCTGTAGTGACCGGCAGTGACTTCACTGGATGTCTGGGACTCAGAATCTCCATCTGGAAGCATGCTGGAGGCTCTCCCCTGCCCCCCAGCTCACCGACAACACCTCAATCTCAGTGATGTTCCAGAAGGCTTTCCAGAAGTGCACATCCAGGTTCTGTATGATCCGTTCAAACTCAGCCCCACGCAACTCTGGGTCTATGGCGAACCGGCCACCAGTGAAGAGGGAGCTGGCAGTCACACCTGGGGGTCAGGAGGGGTGTCAAGGAACCCTGGTGGAGACCAGGCTACTCAGCTGGGCTGGGAAAGGGGGACAGGAGAGGATGTGGGTAGGGCCCGGCCACCACTCACTGAGGCCTGTCTCGTTCCGTTTGTAGTGTTCCCCGAAGGACACCAGCCCGATGGAGAGAGTTTGCAGGAACGGCCGGATGGCAGGTGTGAACTGTGAAGGGATGCCTGTGTCACCCAACCACCCAGGAGACGGATGAGGATGGGGCACAAGGTGGGACAGAGACAGGAGTGGGCACATACATTTAGCAAGCTTTTAATGTGTTCCTATGGTGTGCTGTAGGCATCCCCCTGGGCCCCTTCATAGACCTGGTACCTTCAAAGGGAAGGGAGACAATGAACAAATAAAGACATGTGCAGGGTAATGTCTAAATCAACTAATGATCTGAAGAAAGGCACTAGGTGGATGGGCTGCTGTGATGACCACGGGCCAGGCTACCCGCCCAGGCTGAGAGCAGGGGTCTGAAGGAGGAGAGGCCAGAGCAAGTGCAGAAGCTGAAGATGCAGTGGCACACACGGGGAGCAAGGGAAAGGAGGCATACTGAAGGGGAGCATGGGACAGAGAACACAATGGTGTGCCTGGAGCAGAGTAGGCCAGGAACAAGAGCAAGGGAGGTCCTAGAGGCAAAGAAGACTCTTGGAGGGCCCAGGCTGAGGGACTGGGGAGTACGAACACACGGGAACTTCCTGAAGTCAGAAAGAACAAAGGGTTGAGGCAGACCGGTGGGGCTGGGCACAGGGCAAGTGAAAGCCAGAAATGGGGAAATGACCCAAGACAGGTAGAGAGAACTTGGGGAGATCAGCTGAGGCCTAGACAGGGATAGATGGTTGTCAGGGAAGCCACCCGGCAGGTGGCAGAGGGGAGGACAAACAGGAAGACAACGAGAACAGCAGAGGAGACTCAGCCTCAGGAGGCTAAGGCAAGGAGTTAGCAGAGTTCTTGTTCACTCTCAAAACTGTTCCACAACATGTGGGCTTTGGGAGGGAACAGGGACTGAGCAGCCTCATCTGAGATCTAGGGGCTCTGCCTTCCTGCAAGTTGACATTTTAGAGGGCGATGCAGTCTTGCGCTCTAGCAGAGCTGGGTCCTCAGGAGCTGGCAGGTGGCCCAGGCCGTGCTCTTGGCCAGGGACCCAGTAGGCCAAAGAGCACAGGAGCTCCTGGCCTTTGTGGCTAGGACACTGATTCAGGCAGCCTGGAATTTCTTATTTCCAGTGTTGATGCCAGGGCATGAAAGCAGGGAGATGGCTGGCTATGCTGGCCAGATCAGTGTTTGTAGGTTTATTCGGGTGAGGGGAGAACCCCAGAAATAACTGTGTTGGGCTGCTCAGGCCCAGGAAGCCTGGAATGGTAGACAGGGACAGGGAAGCTGAAAGAGTGGTGGGCTCATCTCTCGGTGAAGTGAGAGGGGGCCCTGAGAGGGCAGAAGGACCAAAGCATCACATAGCTCCTGGAATCCTTGCTGAGGTTCCTTCATACAGCTGGTTGGGGCTGCCTGGAGCTAGCATGACCCCAGACAGGGGCAACTTAGGCCTCTATTCTGATTTTAGTTTTCTATGTTCCCCAGTTTTCTAGTCCCCAAATCAATTATTTAGTTATTTATTTTTGAGACAGGGTCTTTCTATGTAGCCTTGGCTTGCCTAGTACATATGATGTAGCTCAGGCTAGCCTCTATCTCTAAATAATTCTGAGGGTATTAGATTGCCTCACTTTCCATGTGGTGACAGGCTGCATCTCTCTGAGGTGGTTTGGGATGGGCAAAAGGTAGGAGAAGGTCCACAGCTAGGGTCAGAATGTCTAGTTCAGGGAAGAGATTAACCACAACCAGGTCTTCGTTGTCACCAACTCTGATGGATGTGTTGGTCCTGTCCTAAAGGCTGCCTAGAAATCATGTGGTTTCTATAGTGACAAAGCTCAGGTGCCAATCTGCCATCTGTGTGCTGGCACCTTCTTCCATCTGGTCCAGAATCCCAGGTGCACTCACACAGAATGGACCTCTGAGATCAATACTGATTACCCTCCTAGGTGCTCAGACTCAAATGAACCTCAGGGTTCAGTGGGCTGGAGATACAGCTCAATGGTGTGCTCACCTAACACTTGTAAGGCTCTAAGTTCAATCCGTAAGACTTGAAGGAAAAAGAAAAAGAGCAAATGAACCTCTTCTTCCCCCTACCTTTTGCTGGGTTGAAGCTCTGGCCTCATGCATGTTTGACAAGTGTTTTATCACCGAGTTGTGGCCCCAGCCTTCTTGTTACTTTTGAGACAGGGTCTCCCTAAGTTGCCAAGGTTGGCCTTCATCTCACTCTGTAAGCTCAGCCAGGCCTTGGACTTGCAATCCTCCTGCCTCAGCTTCCCGAGTAGCTGGGATGTAACAGGCCTGAGTTACCAGATCCAGCTGGTGAAGAGGGTTTCTGATACATGGTAGGTCTATCTAGTCGTGGCTCATGAGCTGGAGACCTTGGAGTCCAGCTCTGAGTTCCTGCCAACTCTCCCTGCCAATCTGTGCTCTGATTTCTGACTCCAGTAACTCTGATGGCTGTGACTCTACTTCAAGGACAGGTTACCAGCCACCAGTGCCTTCACTGTGAGTCCAGGAGGACATGGGGCAAGGGACTCACCTGGAAGCCCAGGCAGCGGCCATAGAAGCAGCCTTTATGTAGAGTGACATACTCTTGCAGGAAGTCAGCGGTAAGTCCTTCATCACCCTCAAAGAAGAGCACCCCTGGTCGGTTGATAGCCAGCAGGCGCTGAGCGTAGTAGGCCAGGGCACGGAGCTGGGTGAGAGCAGCCAGATAGGCCTCCAGTTCTGCTAGGTTGTGACTGGCACGGAAAAAGATACTTCGGCGATTGGAGGCCACATAGCGGGATTTGTGTAGTAGGTGTGCTAGGCAGCAACGGGCTGTGTGCACCAAGCTACGGTATCCATTGGCTGGTGTCTCTGTGTCCAGGTCAAAATGGTGTGCCACACCCAGCAAGTGGCCTAGGGTTGGCTCCAGCCCCAGTGCCTGTTCTCGAACACCGGCAAAGACATTGGACAGCCGCCGAGCTGTCTCTCCGGGGCCCTGGCTTGAGAAGAAGGCCATGTTGTCTTCTGCAAGTGTCACCAGTGACTGTGTCATTGTGCGGAGATCCATGCTGTGTGAGAATGCCGAGGCTGTGGGAAGATGGGAAGGTCTGGGATTACCCTTGCTGTGTCAGGCCCAGGAGTCCAGGTCCTACCTTTCTTCCCTCAGGCCCAAGTATTCAAACCTAGGACCATCCTTGCTTCGATCCAGGAGTGCAAAGCTGTAGCCTCCTCCTTCAAGGCTCAGGGGTCTATTCCAAACCTCCTAGAGATTCAGGGACCTTCCATTATCTTCTCTTTCACAGCTAAGGTTTTTATGTCCTTGTCTTCCAGAGGTCTGGGGACTCATCCTCTTTCTGCCTAGCTGCTGGGAGTTGACACTCTCAGACTTTTCCCTGCTCTACCCTCTCCCTCCCGGATCAAGGACTCCAGTCTCCTAAGCCCCAGAGGACTTGGTTCACCAGTGCTGCTCTCTACCCCAGAAGCCGGCCCACCCTCTTCCTCTTCCTTCCAGGTATTCAAGGGTGAACTCTATCTTTGTTTACTCTTTAGACTTGTCCTTCTTGTTCCCGGAAATCTGGATGCCCAACGGTTCCCTTTCTCAAGACCCACGTGCTCAAGCCCCATCTCCGTTCCTTTTCAGTCTCCTGGTGTTGCCCACAAGCCCTTCCTTTCTAACAGTGGTGGGGATGTTATTCCCCAGTCCAGCCATTACTGTCTCCTAGGACTTCCCTCCACACCTAGCCCTCCTTTTGAGCCCCAACCATAATCCAGCGTTTCTGCGCCAAGAATTCACTCCTGGTTACTCCAGCCTGCCTGTGGAATCCCCTACAAACTCCACTCCCTCTTTGTTTCTCTGTGGGGGTTTCAAACTCAACATCCCTTCTCTAGATGGTTGCCTGGCTTTCAGCCTTGGTCACCTGTCTTAGATCGCATTGTCTCACTCTCTTGCCTGAAACAGCAGTTCCAATAGCCAATACTGATCACTAGCCAAGCCCATGCTAAGGTTTACCCCAAAGATCCAGAATAGTTCAGATCTCTATTACTGCCAGCATCCCCTTTTACAGGAGGGCAAGCTGAGGCTCAGTAAGAAGCTGGAGGTTGTACGGATAATGGCAGAGCCCATTTAACCCCGATTTCTAGGTCCAGAGTTCCTATGTAGGCATCGCTCCTCCTAGGGCTCTCAAAGCTCAGCTTCTGTCCCTCAGAACCCAGCTCCATGCTTTGCTCAGCTTCCCAGTCAGGGTCTCCTATGATCTCCCTCCAGAGTCCGTGTTATCTAGCACATCTTGGAGAAGTTGCCCTTGACCCTTTGGTGAGGACATTACAACCTTCCCAAGTGATTCTTTCCCTCCGGAAGCCTAGGGCCCTGCCTGGCTCCTGGGTTTGCAACCTTTTGTTTCCATAGAAGACAATGTCTCCTCTCCCTTCCAGATCCTGGGTTCTGGTGGCAGCAGCCATTTCTGTCTCTCAGCTGGCCCTGCACTCACCCTCCCTGGCCTCTTCGGACTGGAGCTCCACAAGCTGGCACAGCAGGTCTGTGGCTAGTGCCAGTAGCAGCCTGTGGCGATAAAGTGGGGGAGGGACCAGCCTAGTCAGGGTGTGGCCATTTGATTCACCTCCCATCCAGAATGGATAGTGAGAACCACATGTTGTAAACGGAGCCCAGAGTTCAACTCCTTACCCCTCCTGCCTGCTTGCTTCTCTAGCTCAACAGAGAGTCCTCGTGCCAGGTTCCTCTTCCTTAGAAGCCTGAAGTCCCAGCCCTGCAGGCCCTCCTTGCTTAGACCCCGGAGCCGTGCCCCAGTTCCTCCTTGTTGAGAGGGCTTAGCCCCCAGCCTCTCCTCCCTCAGACTCCCTCATCCAGTCCCAGTCTTCTCCCCTAGGACTTAATCCTGAACACACTGTCCCTTCTCACTTAGCCAAAATGCCCTCCCTCTCCCCCAAGTGCATTCAGGGAGCCAAAGGCTCAGTGATGTCAGTTCCCACCCCCTAGACTGGCCCTGGCACAGATGTCCCCAGCTGTTAGGGAAAAAGAGGTGGCTAGCCCTGCTTCTCCCTCCTGGGAGGACAAAGGCCGATTAAGGGCAATACCAAACTCAGCCAGGGGCCTGAGTCACAGGCCCTACTGTGTGGTATTCCTACATGGACATCCTTGGTTTACCTCCTAACTACCACAGCCCACCCTGCTGTGACAGTCAACTCCATGTTACATTATGGGGAAACCAAGGCTCTTTTTTTCCCCAAGGTCTTCCACATGCTCCTTACCCAGCCAGCTCTTTCTCACCCTCAGGCCTCAACTGGAAGTGGTCCCTACCTTGTTTCTCCCCATCTCTCAGGTCCACCCTCACTTACCCCCCAGGGCTTATTTCTGCTCTAGCAGGTACACAGTGTGCAGTCATCCCTTTACTTGTTTTTATGTCTGTCTCCACTAGGACAGAAACAGATTTTTAGGGAGGCGCAGAGCTCATAAAGTGGAATATGGCTACTTAGGAAGAACATGAAATTACAAATAAAAAAAATCAGATGTCGGGCTTTTGAAAGAGCCTGTTGCAAACGAGAGGCCCTGAGGCTTCAGCAACATGTCTGGCTGTGGGTGAGTCCTCAGTCTCTGTCCCTGGACTTGTCATCTTGATGAAAGAGAGGGCGGCCCCGAGGCCTAGCACACTCCAGCAAGTCTGTGAAGGGAAGAGGGCATGAAGGGTAGAGTGAGGACCAAAGGTAATGGCTGGCCACTTGGGAGAGAGCTGTACCTTCCCAGGACCAGCAAACAGATAGACAAACGGACCAGAGCCTCGGGGGCCAGTTAAGGTAAGCAACAGTTATGGTGGGATACTGGCCCAGGTCACTTGCTGGTTAAGTGCTGGTGTGACTTCCTCATCTGGAAACTGTGCTGGGCCAGTTTGCTCAGCAGGGTGGAACCCAGATACTCCCATGTGCTAAGCATGTGCTACTACTGAGCTACATGCCCAGCTCAGGGAGGTATTGCATGTGCATGCATGGTTCATTCTGTGGGCTCCCTCAGCTCAGCCTTGCTGAGATAGTGTGTTTAGATCATTCTTACTGCACTCCTTGTCACTATTCTAAACAGTGTATGGCTTTGTCTCCCCATGAGACCCTAGGCATCTGGAGTTCAGGGCCTTGTCTGTTGTGTTCAGCTCTTAGCCAGGGCAATTTCCCACTTTCTAAACCTAGCTTCATCTGCTTCCCACACTGGGTACCTTGTATCTGCCATTTGCCTTTCTGCCACAGCTCACCCTGCGACTCTCCCCCGACCCCAACATGTGAGGAACTCGGGGTTGGGATACTTATTGAAGAACGCTTTTGGAAGAACAAGTGACTTGGATGAAGCAGCAGGGAAAGGGCTGGATCCCTAAGCCATTGTGACTTCGGGGCCCTGCTCTTTGCCCCACTCATGGTAGCTCCCTGAAGACTGGGCTGGCTAGGGCCAGGAGTAATATTGGGATTGCTAGAATCCTAGGCAGAGGGCACTGGGGTAAGGGCATACCCAATGGTGCCATGAGTGAGCATGGCAGGAATGGGGCAAAGGGTAGGGCTGAGGGGGGCATGGCAGTGGGGGAGAGGTACCTAGACAACTAGGTCCCAGCCCTTTGCCCTGGGAGATGTTTTCCTCCTTTGGTTCTGGGAATCAAACTTGTCCATGCTAGACAAACGTTCTGCCATTGAAGCATGTTCCCAGCTCCTCCGGCTCTCTGCCCTGAGAAGCCGCTTGTCAGCTGTGTCAGGCCTGGACTTTGGTTCCAGGGGATGAACCCTGCCTCCCTCTGCTGCACTGTGTCACCTTCACTTGGCAAGAAACTTTCATGGTTCTTCATCTGCCTGAAGTATGTGTGTTTGTATGCAAGTGTTGTGACCTATGTGTGTCTATTGGCCTGCAAGTGTATGCTTTTGTCCTGGATTTTCAGCTTGTATGGGGATGTGTTCATGTTTTTAAGGATCCATGGACTGGAGATGGAGCTCTGTTGGTGGAGTGCTTGCCCACCTTGTGCAAACCCTGGATTTAGTCCCCAATACCATATAGACTGTGTGGGGGGGTGCATACTTGTAATCCCAGCTCTGTGGAGGTGGAAGCAAGAGGATCTGATGTCATTTTGGAATACATAGTGAGTTCAAAGCCAGCCTGGGATATATAGGACACCCTGCTTCCAAAACAAAACAAAAAAATAAGAATAAAAACAACAGAAAGAATCTATATACATGTTTGGGTGTGTCATGGTGCGTACGTGCGTTGAGAACAGAAATCACTATTTGCTCAAGCAGAGACTTAAGGCGTTATCATGCCCATCTCCCTCACCTATCCATCCATCTACGCCATCACCCAGGCCTGTCCCACCTATGTCCTATGGACCTCAAAACTTGGCATGTCCCCACCTCCCCTGCCTCCCCCTGCTGCACTGTATCACCCTCACTTGGCATGTCCCCACCCCCTGCCTCCCCCTGCTGCACTGTATCACCCTCACTTGGCATGTCCCCACCTCCCCTGCCTCCCCCTGCCACACTGTAACATCTTCATTTGGTATGTCCCCACTTCCACTGCCTCCCCCTGCCACACTGTATCCCGCTCACTTGGATGATTGTGAAGCTCTCTGTGTGCCTCTGATTTAAGTCTGTTCCCTGCAAAGCATCTAGAGGATCTTTTGAAAACACGAATCTGATCACTCCTTCCTCTCAGGATAAAGCCTCCCAACCCAATCTAGAGCCCACCCTCCTGCCTCAGGCTCCTGTTGCCAGCCTTCCTCCAACCATACGCTGCTCCTTCCAGCATCAATGGTTTTTTGTGTGCTTGTTTTGTTTTTCCAGACACGGTTTCCCTGTGCAGTCCTGGCTGTCTTGGTACTTGCTCTGTAGACCAGGCTGGCCTGGAACTCACAGAGCTCTCCCTGCTTCTTCCTCCCGAGTACTGGGATTAGAGGCATGTGCCACCACCGCCCGGCTAGCATCAAGATTTTTTGCTCATGCTGCTCTCTGTTTTACCTACTTTCCTTGTTCAGCAGTTAATTCTTGTCCATCCATGAGTCTGACATCACCTCCTTGGAAAAGCTTCCCATAATCATGTTCTCAGAATTTTCTCTTTTTGAAGACAGGATACACTTTCTCATGTATTCCAGGCTGGCCTCAGACTATATAGTCAAGGATGACCTTAAACTTCTTTCTGATCCTCCTGCCTCCACCAATCTACTTCTGAATCCTGGGCACATGCCACCAGGCCTAATTGATGTGGTCCTGGAGATAGACCCTAGGGCTTTGTGCGTGCTGGACAAGTACTCTAGTAACTCAGCTACATCCCTGATTCCAAGATTTTCCCTTTTATTGTATTTATCACACTGACTTGTTTACAACAGGCTTTTTAAAGTGGGTGGGTGGGAGAGGCTGAGAGTCTCACTCTGTAGTCTTGACTGACCTGCAACTCACTACATATCCAGGCTGGCCTTGAACTAATGGTGATCCCCCTGACTCAGCGTCTCAGGTACTGGGATCAGAGGTGTGTGCCACATGCCTGGCAACAGCAATAGTCTTATTAATATTTGTGTCCCCAGCTCTACTGAGTCTGTCCTGCTAGTCACAGAATGCCTAGGTGTTGAGCAAAGGTCTGGAGATTAAATCTTTCTGATGAGAGCCTTTTAGATCCAGAATTAAGGTTGGGGCACACAGCAGTTGTCAACTCCCACATTCCCTGTCCTGAGAAGGCTGAAGGTGTCTCTCTGCCTTTACTGGCCAGGTAAGGAAGGCCTGCTGGCTGAGTGCCTCTGTGTCATCATTTGGGAAATGGGCTGATCATAATGACAGCAGTCTCATCCAGTTACTGGCAAGATCACATGTATAAAAAGACTGCTCCAGCCAGTCAGGATACCCTTGGGGCAGGGGTGGGCTCTGATTCACAGGTCTGAGGCCTGGCACCAGGAAGGGCCTCAGGAAACGACAAGCAATTCACAGAGCTGAGCCTTTGCCTTTGTGAGTAGGTTTGACTGTGCAAGAGTCTTACTCAGGTAGATTCTTTCTGACTCCTCAGGACACTAAGGACAGCTTGGCTATTAATAGCCCCATGACACGCTTGGCACATTCCTTTACTCATCAATCTAATAAATATTTGAATGTCCATGTGTCTGGCATCCTAGGTAAACAAGGCAGACACAAGCCCACTCTTCGGGAGCTCAATGTCTAGTAGAGACAGTATACTCACATCCACCTCTCCCGGCTTATTGTGTGCCAAAGAACATGCATTGGAATCTTACAACAGTCTTACAAGTCAGGTACTGCTGTCGTCATGCCTGCTCGGAGATCAGAAAAAAATCAGGGAAAGGAGCCTGTTGTTTATTCCTTCACAGATCTTAGCAATTTGGTGAAATGGCTCTCTAAGAAACAGGTTCCAAATGGTATCTTTGTTGTGGGACAAGAGGCTGTCTTTTGGCTCCAGCTTGAGTTCAAACCTGTCTTGGCCAGTATATGCACTCTAGAGTTGATTATAATGCTATCCTTGTTTACCAAGAAGATAGGGGGAATGATGAATTTGGGGTTACTGGGGCTGGGGAGCCATGTCAGGTTTTTTTTTTTTTTTTTTTTTTTGCCTGCACAGGAACCTCTCGCTGGGACTGATAAAGACGCATGGACTGCAGGTGGAGATGCATGGTGGAGCACTTGTTAGCATTCACCAGACCCTAGGTTTGGCTATAAGCAGCGCCGCAAAATAGACAAGACTCATAACTGAGCCCGGACTTAATGCCTGCTCTGACTGAGCCTTGCAACATCTTTTGCTGGTCTGCTACTGTTTCTCTAGGTCTAGGGAAGCTAGACAACAGCCCTCTCATCTCCCTAGGGAAAGTGTGGAGGTGCAAAGTCAATGTAAAAGCTCTCTTTTTGGAAGTCGTGAGGATCGGGAGCTTCGCCAAAGTGTTGCTGGGCTGACGAAGGTCGATCGCCGAAGAGCAAACGGATGGATTGACTGAGAGTGGAAGCAGGGGCTGCGAGGAGTTTTTCCAGTTACCAGGTACTCCTACCACCTACCTCTCACAAGCCTGTACTCGTTCCTCATTTGGTAAAAGCGGCTAAAATCCTTCCCCATTATCCTCTTAAGAGTGCAGAAGACATGAAAATCAGCGTTTGAATCATTTCCAAGGCCGAAAACACTTAGAGCGAAGCTGTTGCTCTTGGCCACACAGAGAGTAACGAACCCAAGCGGGAACCCTATTCCGACAGAGTCGCATTCCCAAGACCGCACTAGGATAGCCGGTAGTCCTCACGTCTGGGTGGGACATTCTACTCTCACATCACCCCCTTCTAATAATGGATGGTCTCCGCCCCCCCCCACGCCCCACGCAGGACGGCAGTGGGTCAGTCCACGGGTCGCCCTCCCCCCTCCCCGTTGTGGAAGTGGGTCAGTCCACCCAGTCCCCCAGTGCCCCGCAGGATGGGCAGAGTTTGTTCCGAGCTGCTCCCGGCTCACCTTTGACCTTGCCTTTTCGCCACCGCCTGCGACTGCGGTTCTTCGACCCTTCTTTGGCCTGCTTGGAGGCCTGGGCCCCCACGATCCCCGATTCCACGGCTGGCTCCATCAATTCTTTCCAGTCCCGGCGCGGGGCCCAATTCCAGCGGTCGAGTCCCTCCCCTAGAGTCCATCCTCTTTACACACCACCGCCAGGCCCCCAAACCATCCAATCCTGGGCTTGCTCCTCGCTAGGCCCCGCCTCCAGTGGGTGGGTCTGAAGGCCTTGGCCCGCCCATTCGCTCAAGTTAAAGGAACCGCAGCCAACCACAGCAACGATGACAAAAAAAATGCAACCCCGGAGGCGATGAAAAGTGTCCACAGAGCCGAAATAGGGAGGAGTGGCGCTAGAGTCACCCCGACAGAGAATGAGCGTCGCCACCCCATTCACCTTCCCATGAACTTGGCCCGCCCACCTGCCCCAGGAGTGGCAGGAACCTGCGGGCAAGGAGCGGGCCAGGCCCTCAGGCCACCTAGAGCGTGGGCGGGGCCGACTTGGGGGCGTGGCCGCGCTGGGGAGCCGCTAGGGAAGCCCCGCCTTTTCTCCGCGCCCCCCACCCCCACCACCCCCGTTTGTTCTTCCCTTGACTTTGAGAAGGGGGTCTGTACACTGTAGCTGAGGTTGGCTTGGAACCCACCATGTAGCCTAGGCTGGCCTTGACCTCTCAGCAAAAACGACTGCTTCCAGTCAGACAGCCTTTCTCTCACACATTCTCTCTCCCTGCTGGTTTTCATGGCTGTCTCTTGAGGTTTTTCTCTCAGTCCTGTCCTCTTGCCCAGCATCAAAGGGATGGGGGAGGTGGGGTGGGAGTTGGGGAGAAGAGAACGTTCTGCGCCTGCCCAGCAGCAGGTCGACCTAGTTGAGGGAGCCCACATGCCGGGGGGAAAAGGCGGGAAGCAGAGCAAGCCCAAGGCTCCCTGCGTTCTGCTCAACCGCTTCTGGGCCAGCGCATGCCAGAGGCGTCTGGAACCCCGGGGCAGGCAGTGTTTCTCCCGCACTGGGAGAAGTACACCTCGACTTCCTCACAGAGCGAGAAACAGCTCGGGCCTTTGAGGAGGAGGGCCGGCTCCCTGAGGTGAAAGACCACCACTGCCCGCTCTCAGGACTGTGACTTTCCTGTCAGGACGGGGCTCTATGGCGTTACCTGTCATTGCTTCAGAGGAGCAGCAGGAAGAAGGGAGCCTTGGCCGGCACCCTACCATGCTGTTCCCATTCAGCCTTGACTTGGCCACAGTCTTGGGCGGCCCTATCCAGCCTCCTCTCCTAAGCCATGAAACAGTCATTCCATGGCACTGAGCCCCTGTGGAGGCACCCGGCTGGGGAGCGAGTGTTCCTGGCGGCAGATGCAAGTTACCTGCTGCTCTAAGCGTGGAGGCTGGGAATGCCCCGATGTTGAGCTTGTCTACACCACTCCGAAAGGTGAGGCCCACACTGAGCATTGTACTGGTGTTGCTTAGCTTGATGTCTGCCCCACGGTTAGTAATCCGCCATTTATTTATTTATGGACTCATGAATGAATGCTGGTGGGAGGGTGGTTTCTTTTACTTGACTCTTGAGTTAGGGCTCTTTCCTACCTCAGTTTGCTTTCCTCCAAATCTTTTTTTTTTTTTTTGCGGGGGGTAGGGTGCTGTTTCCAAACTGCAGGGCCTTGTGTAGCATCATTTTTATGCCTCAGCATCCCTCTCTACAGATTGGTGTGTGTGTGTGTGTGTGTGTGTGTGTGTGTGTGTGTGTGTGTGTGTGTGTGTTACTCTCTATTTAACACTATTGTTGAAAAATGACCCAAGTGTAATAACCCCAGATACAAAAAATTCTTAGCACAAATAAGTGACTGGCCCTGGAAGGCTCCAGTCTTCCAGGTTCAGACTCACCTGTGTCCCAGTAGTGTTTGTGATTCTGGAGACTAGCTTTCATCCCATGTGGTGATTTCCCGCCATATCCTGGCAGCTTTTCACAATCAGGTTTCTTTTTGAAGGGTTGTAGCATTTCCGGGATCACTGTTCCACTCTTTGGCTCTGAAAGATTTGAGTTTGAAGATGAACTCAGATGTTCCTCTGTGTCAGACACTGTAACCCAGTTAAAAAATGTCTTCCACTTGTGGGCCGTGTGCGGTATGGAGAGTTCATGTAGTCTTGTTAAAGACCCAGATTCCATCGAAGATCCCTGATTGGATTTGGCTTCTGGAACTAGAGGTGTTTGCTGGGTTGTAGGGTCTGACCGTTCAAGTCTCTCTCGGAATGAAGAGTAAGTCTCAGCAGGGGATTTCTTTTGGGGTCCAGGTACAGCCTGGGTTGTAGATGTAGCCTCCACTTCATGTGGAGCTAGAGGTGGTTCTGCTGGTCCAGATCCTGTCATCCTCACGTGTTCTTCTCTGAGTTGTGGCTCCTGTTGAGTGGTAGACACTTTTCCTGTCCCTGGTCCCCAGTGGGAGGTGGCTTCCTGTTGATCCAAGTGCACTTTCTGCCGGGGAGGTGATTGCTGTGGTGCAGGGGAGGCTAATGGGGCAAGGATTTTCTGGAGCAGAGCAGATTTTTGTGGAACTCTTGGTACCTGCTGGAATTCAGCTTCATGTTGGACAGCGGGCTTCAGGGTATCAAATTCCTGCAGCATCTTTGCTCCTGGATGGTCTGTGAGGGTTGTTTCTGGCTCAGGATCTGGCTGGATTATAGATCTCTGTTGTGTCTCAGATTTCCATTCTGGCCTAGATGCTGAGGTAGAATCTGGCTCCGCAGTTGGTATTTCCCTTGTGAAAGAAGTTGGTCTCCTAGGCTTCATCCTTCTGCCCCTACCCCTCAGGCTTCCCTCTTCACAGATCTTTCATGATGGCATCTCCCTTTGGGCTCTAATCCTGCATCCTGGCATTCCTGGTCTTCCTTTATAGCTGGCCTGTTGGTTGATCACTGCCGCCCCCTGCCCCTTCGATTCTTGCCAACTGATTACTCTGTGCCTCTTACTTAGGGAGAGGGATTAGGACTAAGTAGGAGGCTCATGTGCCCTCTACTGTATAACAAGAAGGGAGGGGCTTGTCCTCTTGTGTCATAAACAGGTCCCCACCCCATTCACCACTCAGTTTAAATGACTACCCGTCTCATAAGGCAAACATCTTAACTTAGTCTTCTGTTTCATCTGGGATAATTCTAGATGGATGAGTGTTCTCTGCCCCCAGAGAGGGGAATCTCATGTAGCCCAGGCTGGCCTCAAGCTCCTGATCCTCTTGCCTCCATTTCCCAAGTTCTGTGACCAAAGGTGTGTACCACCATAGTTCAGTATTTTTCCCTGCTACTGATACCAGAAGAATACTTGAGGAGTCTCTATATTTATAATAATAATTTCCTCTTCATTAATTCTCACAACTAGTTGCCAGTTGAATTGTTTTAGATTATTGCTCTGATCATTTTATACCTATGCTAAAAAGTAAAAAAAAACAACAACTGTGTCATCCTATTTTTGTAGGCTCAAAACCCCTCTTGAATTGCAGCTGAGATTCTTCATACCATCTTTATAGCCTTGAACTGTGTTTCTACATTTATATCTCTTGTATTGCATTAGAAACCCACAGAATGCAGTAATAATGATGGGAATAATGATGATGGTAGGAATCATAAACACTGAAGGCTGTCTAGATCCTAAGAAACCAGAACTTGTAAACCTTTACTATTTTTAATCAGGCAGTGTCTGATTCAGTGTTTTACCTGCTTTCTATGCCCCATCCAGATGTTGCACCTTAGAATGAGTGAAAGAATAAAGAATTAGGCAATGGAGAGAGAAAGAGGGTCAAGGAAGGAAAAGTGTGTGTAGAATCTGGGATGGGTTTCCAATGAACAGGGCAGAGGGTGACATGTGGATTGAATGTGAGTAAGTCAGACCCCATTTGATTGAAATAACTGATACTCATATATCATACATTTGCATTATATATATGCATTATTTATTTTATTTGCTAAATTCCTAATGGTCAAGTGAGATCAATAGGAGGCTCAGGTTTCCTTGATTCTTTTAGGGTAAACAGAAGAGATAAGTGTCCTGGTGCCAAACATCAGGAGTTAAACACCGAGATACTGCAGGGTAAAATTTATTCACGGCTGGGCCTAATTTACAGTCCCCTCCTTGGGAGTAGGAGAATGTAAGCTGCAGCAGAGAGAATCTTATATGGGTCTTCCATGACCTCTGCAAGCAAGCAAAGCTTAAACAAAAGCAGAACTTTTTGCTGTTAGCATTTAGCACAAACACATTGTCCAAGTTTTTGACATCATTGTGATTGGCCAGTTTCAGAAAGTCTATCAAACTGACCTGGTTTCTCAGAAGGTCTTTGTAGTCTGTTGGTTTAAAAAAACACACAATAGGAACATGAATCTTATTTCACCTAAGAAATAAAAGTACCAACATCAAGATTCTGGGAACAGACCTGGGAGCTAAATAAAAAGAGGAAGGGAGACTGTCATTTTAAATTATTTAACCCATATTGAAATCAATAGTGATGAGAGAAGATGGCAATAGAGAGCACAGTAGCCAATATGCTGGGCAGTGCCTTCTGAGAGCACTGGGATGCTTTTGGTGAGAATGGGGGTGGGGAGAACAAGAACATGCTCGAGGGTTGATCACCTCTTTTTCACCGAGAGTGTTCACTTGAAAGAGTAGAGTCTCAGAACTATAAGGGCAGAGCAAAACTTGCTAGTTGACATCGTTTGAGAAATTGTTGGCAGGTTCTGGAGGGCTTGTTTGGCTTCCTGTGGTGCTTTTGGTGTCCTAGAGCACAAATAAAAGGGGATGCTGTCATCAAAAACTTACAAATACTTTGTTTTATTTTTATTTGTGTGTGTGTGTGTGTGTGTGTGTGTGTGTGTGTGTACCTGAGTGGGTTAGAATAGAATTTCAGATCTCCTGGAGCTGGAGTTACAGGTGGTTTGGAGCCACCTGACAAGTGTGCTGGGAACCAAACTATGGACCTCTGATTTTATTTCGAGACAGGGTTTCTCTGGGTAGCCCTGGCTGTCCGGGAACTCACTCTGTAGACCAGGCTGGCCTCAGATTCAGAGATCTGCCTGTCTCTGCCTCCTGAGTGCTGGGATTAAAGGCATGCACCACCACTGCTTGGCTCCTCTGGTCCTCTGAAAGAGCAACGAGTGCTCATAACTGTTGCTCTGTCTCTCCAGCTCCTTTAAAAGCATTGCAAAGTGCAAAGTTTAATTTTTATGTAAACTTTTGAAATTATGAGATGCGACTGGCTGTGGTGGTGCATGCCCTCAATCTCCGCACTCAAGAGGCAGAGGTTGGTGGATCTCCGTGGGTTCAAGACCAGCCTGGTCTGCAAAGTGAGAGATCTAGGACAGTCAGGGCTATATACAGAAACCTTGTCTCGAAAAACCAAACCAAGGGCAAGGGGGCGGCACAAACCAGAATCAAAAAGCCAAACAAGGGTGGAAGAGATGGCTCACCAGGTAAGACATTTGCCAGACTTTATGACTTGAGTTCAATCCCAGAGACTGATATGGCAGAAAGAGAGAACCGACTCACAGTTTTCTTCTCTGACCTCCACACATGTGATGCTATATGTAAACACACACACACACACACACACACACACACACACACACACACACACGCATACATTATAAAATAAAGTGATAATTTATAAAACAATGGTTTATTTGTGTGTATCTGTGATGTGCATATATGTAGGGTTGCACTCATGCCATAGTAGAAATTTGGAAGTCGAGGGCAACTTGCAGGAGTCTGTTCTCTCTTTCTGTCATGTGGGTCCCAGGGAATGAACTCAGCTCGTTAGATTTGGCTGTAAGCACCTTTACCTTCTGAGCCATCCTTTTGGCCTTTGATTTACTTTTTTGTATAATAACATTTTAAAACAGACTGTGGGGCTGGAGAGATGGCTCAGCGACTAAGAGCATGAGTTTGCCCCTTTAGAGGCTCCAGGTTCAATTCCCAGCACCCACAGGGTGGTTCAAAGCCATCTGTAACTCCTGTCCCAGGAAATCTGATTCCCTTTTCTGCCTTCAAGGGCACTGCATGTAGGTAGTGCACTTAAATACATGCAGGCAAAATACCCACACACATAAAATGAAAACAAACAAACAAAACAACCAACTGCAAGATGAAGGAAAAGCCCAAATCCTGTTCCACACTGACACTGGTGTCGTCTTCAGATATCAACGGGCAGGTCACAGCCTCCCAGTTTCCTTTTTCTTTGATAGTTTCAGAATAAGTCTATCTTGATGTTTTTGCTCTTTCTGTTTTCCTACAAGCTGACATTGAATAGAAAGGGGCTGGCTGATGCCTGTGTTTATTTTGGTCTTCTCGGCCTTGCCTCCATCCCTAGTGAGTCCATAGAACTGAGTGTGGTTTAAGCAAGGCCATCCTCTTGAACTTACTGTTTTTTTTCTCACTGCCCTTGACATGATCACAGGGACACTGCTTCCTTTGTGGCTCCAGCACTGGTGTGGATTTTCTCTTTGGGGTTCTCAGGAACCAATCTGTAACAACAACAGGCTACTGCTTAGACAACAAGATTGGTATGTTTGAGAGTAGGATTTGGTAGGGCTTTTTGAGCACTCTGGTGACTCTTTCTCACAGACTGGGGAAAAGGGTCAACAGGGAACAATGGAGACCTCAAGCTATGTGAACCCCAGGATTTCTATGTTGTTTTTGTGTGATCTCTGTGGGTAGGGATTTGCTGACATGTTTAGAAGGGACATTGGGATATCCCTGTGGAAACTGAAAAATGAAGAAGTGAGGCCCAGGTGTCTTTTTAGGACTACGTTTCTTCTGCTTTCAATCCTTCCTATAAGGAACATCAGGTTAAGACCAGGATCTAAGATGCTTTTAGGGAGCCAGGAAAAAGTAAAAACCTTCCAAGAAGGTACAGGGAATTTGGGGAAAGGTTGGTGGGGGTGCACAAAGATCCTGGTAGGCATCTAGCTCCTGTCTGACTCAGGGAGAAAGCAGGCATTAGTGCTGCATCTGGTGGGAGGCTGAGGTTAGCTCAGACAACATCTGTCCTGGTCTCGGAGGGGCTCAAGGGAGATGAAGGTTTAGGGTCACAATGGCACCAATTCTGTGGTTAAGGCTGAATTACTGACCTCTGCATTCACATTCTTGGCCACCTTCCCGGAGCCATCTTCTAGAAGCCTGGCGTTGGTCACCATGGCTTCTGGCGACTCCTGTTGGAGGCAAACACATGTGGTTAACTTCCAGATACTGGAAAGGGAAAGCTCTCTGTGCCCCTATCCTCCATTGTTGTGCTACCTGAGTACCTAGATCAGCACAATCTCTGTGTCTATGTGTCTCTGTCTGTTCTACCTTCCACTGCAGAGCTCTAGGGAACTCCAAAAGAAGGATATTGTAAATGGGTAAAGAACTGAGACTTAAAAATCTATCCTAAACCCTGGAGAGATGGCCCAGTGGTTAAAGGCACTTGCTGCTCTTGCAGAGAAAACTCAGTTTTGAGTCCCATCACCTACATGGTGACTTGCAATCATCTGTAATCATCTAGTGCCCTCTTCTGACTTCCACAGGCACTCATGTACAAAGCAAAAATAAATCTTAAAAGAAAAAAAAATCAGGCCTACTGAAAACCTTAGCTGAGAAAGTGAAGAAAATGGCTTCTGAATCTAAGGGAAGACATGATGGGGCTATTGGGACTGCAACCTCCACATCCCTCATTAAAATACTGGTAACTTAGGTGAGAGCAAGGAGCAGATAACTGTAAACCAAAATTTCCACCTGAACTCTAAGTTGATGTGTTTGAATCCACAATTCAGTTGACTATTAAGAGAATGGTATTTGTGTTTGTTCCTCTGGGACAGACACGTTGTATCCAAGCCTATGTTGTTATCTGATTCTACCACCTCCATGTATTTGAGACAAGGTCTTGCTATACAGCTCAATGTTCATCTGGCTCCTGGCCTTTAGTGATCCATCTGAATCTGCTTCCTGGTAGCTGTGATTATTGGTGCTTTCCACCAAGCCCACCCCTAAAATATTTGGATGACAACAGAAGATGAAGGTTTAAGGGCTGGTGATAGCTTAGCTGGGACCTGCTGCCAAGCTTGACAACCTGAGTTCCATCTTTGGGACTCATATGGTAGAAGAAGAATATTGGCTCCTGAGGTCTGTCCTCTGACTTTCACACATTTCCTGTGTGTTGCATGTGTACCCACCCACGGAAAAATACATTAATTAGATACAATACAAAATTTGTCTTAGGGTTTCTATTGCTGTGATAAAACACCATAAACTAAAAGCAACTTTGGAAAGAAAGGGTTTATTTCACCTTACAACTCTCAGGTCACACTCCATCACTTATTGAGGGAAGGCAAGGTAGGAACTCAAGGTTGGAACCTGGAGGTAGAAACTGATGCAGATGTCATGGAGGAAAGGCTGCTTACTGACTTGTTCCTCTTGGCTTGCTCAGTTTGCTTTCTTATATATCCCAAGACTACCTGCCTAGGGGTCTCACTGCATATAGTGAGCTGGGCCCTCCCACATCAATCATTAATCAAGAAAACACTCTACATCTTTCCTACTGGCCAATCTTTTTTTTTTTTTTTTTTTTTTTTTTTTGGTTTTTCGAGACAGGGTTTCTCTGTGTAGCTTTGCGCCTGTCCTGGATCTCACTTGGTAGTCCAGGCTGGCCTCGAACTCACAGAGATCCGCCTGGCTCTGCCTCCCGAGTGCTGGGATTAAAGGCGTGCGCCACCACCGCCCGGCCGCTACTGGCCAATCTTAAGGAGGCATTTTCTCAACTGCTTTTCAGATGACTTTAGTGTGGTGATATATTTTTGTAATCTAAGAAATAAAGCTAGCCTGAAGATCAGAGGACAGAGCCAGCCACATAGTTAGCCATAGAGATCAGGCAGTGGTGGCACACACCTTTAATCCTAGCACTCCGGAGGCAGAGATAGAGATCCGCCTGGATCTCTGTGAGTTCAAGGCCACCCTAGACTACATGAGATTAATCCAGTCTAAAAGAGACAGAGCCAGGCAGTGGTGGCACACACCTTTAATCCCAGCAGTAGGAAGGTTGAGACATAAAGTGATATGGCTGGGCAGAGAAAGGCATGTAAGGCAGGAGGAGACAGGAACTGAAAAGCCCTTTGGGCTGAGGACTCAGAGACATTCGGTCAGAAGATTCGTGGAGTTGTTGAGGTGAGAAGTGACTGTGGCTTGTTCCTCTGTCTCTCTGATCTTTAAGTATTTACCCCAATATCTGACTCCGGGTTTTTATTATAAGACCATTTAGGATTTGAGCAGCACCCTAGTTTGTGTCAAATTGACAACACACAACTAGGGCAAAATTATAAAAAAGAGAAAGGCTTATAGATTTGAGAATCTCAAGCTAGAACTGGGCCCACATGACACCTCCTCTAGTTTTAGTTGGCAATGTTTCCTGTTAAAACCAATAATGACAGATGAGAAATATAGCTAAGTTTATGTGCTCGTCTGACATGTATGATACCCTGGATTTGATCCATAGCACCATGAAAACAATAAAATATGCCTACATATGTTTCTTACTGTGTTTACACTATTCTTTCTTTGAGACAGGGTCTCCATATTATAGCTGGGGTTAGACCAGCTTCCACCTGATTCCCCAGCTTTCACCTCCACCAATGCCCAGCTCATTTTTGTTGTTATTTTTGGTTGGGAAAGGGTCTTGCTATGTGGTCCAGCTGTCTTTGAACCTTCAGCAATCTCTCTAACCCTGATTCCAATTGCTGGGATTACAGATGAGTACTGTGCTTGAATTATTCTTGTGTAATTTGTGACTTGAAATCTGTTATGGCCTGAATGCTATCCTCCCAAATTCACATACTAAAGATCTAACCTCTACTTCCTCAGAATGAGTATATTTGGAGATAGAGTTTTGAAAATGGCAATTAAGCTAAAATGATGCTTTTGTGGAGTTGTTTAATCCATTTTTATAAAAAATGAGCCATTTTATAAGAAAAAGGTTGTGGTGGCACACACCTTTAATCCCAGCTCTAGGGAGGCAGAGGCAGGAGAATCTCTGTGGGTTCGAGGCCAGCCTTATCTACACTGTAAGTTCCAGGACAGCCAGGACTACACAGAGAAAACCTGTCCCTGTCTCAAAAAACCAAATAAAACAAAAAGGTCTTAAGGATGTGTACACACAGAGGAAAAACCATGTGACTGATGATATGGCAAGACGCTAACAGAATATGTCTCCTTAAAGCCTCTGTGTTGGGGCTGAGGAGACAGGGCAGCAGTTAAGAGCACTTACTGCTGTTGCAGAGGACCTGGGTTCGGGGCAGTTCATAACCTACTGTAACTCCAGTTCCAGGGGACCTGACTCCCTCTTCTGGCCTCCGGGGCACTGCATGCATGTGGTGCACATACTAGATGTGGGCAAAGCATTCATATACATAAAATACAATAAATGAATCTTTAAAAAAAAGCCTTCTATGTTGGAGTTCTAGTCCCTAATGTGATTATATTAGGAAGTGGGGCCTTTGTGGGGTTAATTAGGTCATGAACGTAGAACTCCCAGGAGTGGAACTTGTGTCCTTGTGGAAAGGGATCCCCGAGAACCCTCAGCTTCCACTGTTTGAGAATTGTTTGCACACTGTGAGATAAATCTTACTTGAATTCAATCATGCCAAAACTCTGATCTCAGAAACCCTACTTTTGAAACTATGACAAATAAATTTCTGCTGGTTCTAAGCCATCCAGTCAACAGTGGGACTCTATCACAATCTCAACTAAGATTGCAGCCATTTGTCAGCCAAAGACAGAGGCTTTAGAAGAGATTCAGACCTTCTGGTACCTCAGTCTTGGATTTCCAGTCTCCAGAAATGTGAGAAAATCAAATTTGTCCCTAAAGCCACCCCAACTGTGGTATCTTGTTATAACACTCCTAACAAATATAGACAAAACCTTTTTCCTGTAGTCAGAAGTTTCTCTGGTCCTGTCCCGCCCCATGGTCAGGATGGATCTCCCCCATGGTTAGGATGGATCTCTCCCACCTGCAACCGGCAGCTGCTTGGTCCCAAGTAAACACACAGAGGCTTATATTAATTATCAGCTGTATGGCCTATGGGTCAGGCTTCTTGCTAGCTAACTAGCTATTATAACTTAACTCAACCCATTTATATTAATCTATATGTTGCCATGTGGCCATGGCTTTACTGGTCTGCTGGCATGTTGCTCCTTGGGCAGCAGACTGGCATCTCCCAGCTACTCTCCTTTCTTCTTCCTGTCTCTCTCTTGGATTTCCTGCCTGGCTATAACCTGATTGCCATAGGCCAGAGCAGCTTCTGTATTAACCAATCATAGCAACACATATTCACAGCATACCAAAAGACATCCCCACAGCATTCTCCTCCACTAACCTCAGAATCAGTGGTTCAGTACTGACAGAGCTCATTACTCCTGACACATGGTAGGCATTTAATAAGTGTTTGTTCAGTAGGTGCATGGACAAGCATTTGGAGAGGGCCTCCTTTAGAGATCATCTAGTTCAATTCAGGCCTCCTGCTCCCATACTTGTGCCCTTTCTGCCACACAGATGGATGGTATTGCATCATTTCCCAGTGCTGTTTTCTAATGTTCTCATGTGCTGTTTTGAGCACTATTAAAATTAGTAGGGCACAGCCTTTGCCTTCTAATTTTTTTCTAGCATTTTCTCCTTGTGTGGCCTCTATTCCTCATTTCATCAAAAAGTCATAAAACATTAAAACCAGAAGAAATCTTATAGATGATTTAGTGGATTCCTAAAGATAGAAGTTTTTAAATTCTAAGTGATCACATTTAGATATGTAGAAATGGTAACCCAATTGGAGAAAAAAATTGAAAGTATAATAAACTTCATCATCATCACCATCGTCATCATCATCATCATCATCATAATTCTGAGGCAAGGTCTCTTGTAGTTCAGGATAGTCTTGAACTTACTACAGAAGTGAGGATGACATTGAACTCCAGATCCTTCTGTTTCTATCTCCCAAGTGCTAGAATTACAGGTGAGTGGTGTGATGCCCTGCTCAAGAACACATTTTTTTTTTTTTTTTTTTAAGATTTATTTATTTATTATGTATACAGAAGAGGGCGCCAGATCTCATTACAGATGGTTGTCAGCCACCATGTGGGTGCTGGGAATTGAACTCAGGACCTCTGGAAGAGCAGTCGGTGCTCTTAACCTCTGAGCCATCTCTCCAGCCCTTATTTTTTATTTAATTTTATTTTTTTAAGATTTATTTTATTTTTTTTGTGTATGAGTATTTGCTTGCATGTATGTATGTGCACCACTTGCATGCCTGGTGCCCATGGAGTCTAGAATAAATCCTTGGATCCTCTGGATGGTTGTGAGCCGCCATGTGAGTGCTGGGAATCAGTTCTGATTCCTCTGCAGGAGCAGTCAGTGCTCTTAACCATGGAGCCATCCCTTCAGCCCCAACTTGTACCAGTCTTTATGTTTATTTACTTCTTAATTTTCCTCTAAATTTATTTTACAAAGTAGTCTCACTTTGTGTAGAATTATAAATTTAGTATATTCTTAGTATTATGCTTGTCTTTATTCCCCTCTCCTCCTCTTTCTCTGTGTTTCTGTCTTGTTGAGTAGCCCAGATTAGTCTAGCAGGCCATACTGGGATACTTTCTTTTCTAATGGGTTAAAATAAGCATGTTATTATTAAGGATATTAAAAGCAAATTTATGTTTCATCAAAAATTAGTCTTGGCTAATGCTTGCCCAGTGGACTTTCTATCCAGATAGACCTGGGGCTTCCTACTGGCTCTGTCACTTAACTGTATGATGTATACTTCTTGGATTTGTGAGTCTCTGACTTGCAAAACAAGGATAAGTAATGCCCAACTTGCTGAAGAATAAATTAATTACTGTGAATGTCCTGTGCCCAGACATATGTTCAGGACATGAGTGTTATTATAGTTGTTACTGAGGACTACTAGTTGTTTTCTTCCTTCCTTCCCTTCCCTCTCTCTCTTCCACATCTCCCTACCCCTTTGCCCCATGTAGTTCAGGTTGACCTCAAACTTGATAAATAGCTGAGGATAACCTTGAACTCTTGACATTTCTACCTCAGCCTCTGGGTGCTGGGATTTCAGGCATGTGTCAACATACCTGGCTTCTAGTTGTTTTCTGAAGACAATCTATCATTAGCTCCTGGCTTTGTACTGGCAGGCTGAGCAAAAGTTAATTCTACTTGTTAAGACACTAGCAATCTGTCTTCCTCTTCATTCTCCTTTTCCTCCAGACAGGGTCTCACTATATAGCCCTCCTTGCCTGCAGCTTTCTGTGTAGACCTGGCTGGTCTTGAACTTGCAGAGATCTCCTTGCCTTTGCTTCCCACATACTGGGATTATAAGTATGTGCCACCATGCTAAGCTGATATATCATTATTTTGATTTGCCAGGTCTACCACATATTTACTTTGTGACTTTTTTTAAAGATAGGTTACTTAACTTGCTGTAATTTGTAAAATATGGCTAATAGTGCATTGGTATGTGTGTGCTGTTTCCCATCTCTGTCTTCCACCAGAAGGGCTACATAGAAGCAACAGCTCCTCCTAGCAAAGGACATGTTTCAGCACCCATGACAAGAACCAGGGATTCTTGGAAATAGCTGATTCCAGGGAGCAGGAAAGTATAAGATAAGCCTGAAACTTCTTATGTCAGAAAGTAAGGAACTGCCAAAAAAAAAAAATGATGAAGACATTAAAAGACTGTGGAAACCAACTTGAAGGACAATGTGAATAACATAATAAATGATGGTACTAGTGGGTTACCTGTGAGTTTCTGAGTCTATACAGGTATAAACAAGTAGGTGAAAGGAAGAAGGCCTGAAGGCCTGGAGAGATGGCTCAGTGTTTATAAGCCCTTACTTCTCTCCCAGAGGATGTGAGTCCAGTTCCTAGCTCCCACATCAGGTGGCTCATAATTGCCTTTAATTTTACCTTTAGGGATCTGACATTTTCTCTGGCCTCCATAGACACAGGCACACATAAATAAAAAGAAAAATAAATCTTAAAAAATAAATAAAAAGTGGCGCACGCCTTTAATCCCAGCACTCGGGAGGCAGAGGCAGGTGGATCTCTGTGAGTTCGAGGCCAGCCTGGGCTATAGAGTGAGTTCTAGGAGAGTCTCCAAAGCTACACAGAGAAACCCTGTCTCAAAAAACCAAAATAAATAAATAAATGAATGAATGAATAACTAAAAGGAAGAGCCTTTTCTTTTTTCTAAGATTTATTTTTATTATTTATGCATATGTATGTGTATGCATGTGTGTGCATATATGAATGTAGGTGTAAGCATTCCCATAGGCCAGAAAGAGGGCCTCAGGTCCTTGGAGGTGGTGTTGCAGGTGTTGTAAACTGCCTGGTGTGGATGCTGGGAACTGAACTCAGGTCTTCTCTAAGAACAACAAGTTCTCTTAATGGCTAAGCCATCACTCCAGCCATAGGAGCTTTTTCTTATAGTGGAATTCTGGGTAGCAAATAATCATTATTTGACTAATACCATAGTCAGAATTTTTATAGACAAGAATAAATGGCTTCTGAAAATTAGTGCACAAAAGTATGTTGACAAGAAGTGGGATATTGGGGTTGGAGAGATGGCTCAGTGGTTAAGAGTACTGACTGCTTTTCCAGATGGGTTCAATTCCCAGCACCCACACGGCAGCTCACACCTGTAGCTCCAGTATCCAACACCCTCACATAGACATACATGCAAGCAAAACACCAATGCACAGAAAATAAAAGTAAATAAATTATTTAAAAAAAGAGTGAGGATATTGGCATGGCTTCAAAGCATCTTTCCACAAGATGGTTGTTAATTACAACATTAGGAAACAGTAACTTTACAGCAGACAAGACTGCAGATGCCACTTTTACCAGCATGGTCACTGGTAAGGAGCAAGAAAGGCACTTGGGACTTTTTTCCATGTGCTGTGCTGGGAAGGACACATCACTTTTGTGATGCTTTACATTTTAAATTATCATTTGTGTACGTGGTGTGGGTGTGGGAAGTGTGACTGCCATAACACATATGTGGATCTTAGAGAGAACTTTGTGGAGTTGTCTGTTCTTCCCTTCCACTTTTATGTAGGTTCTGGGTATCAAACTCAGGTCACCAGACTTCCACTGAGGCCCCTTGCCAGCCCTTCTGTGCACAAAGTGAATAAGCAGAATTTAATCATGAGGAAACACTGGAAAAACCCATACTGAGGACATTCTACTTTCCAGTACTCTTACAAAATATACCAAGAACTCCTGGGAAGGAGGGGGAAAGACTTAGAAGCGATGCTAGCTTGGAGGACACCAAGGTGTCATGACAGCTTTATTCACTGTGAGTTCTGAAGTGGTCTCTGTACCAGGAAAAGGATGTTAGTGGAATAATTAGGACACTGAATATTTGAGGAATTAGCCAATGTGTTAATGACAGTTTCCTGGTTTTTAAATTTTTGATTTTATGTGTTTGGGTGTTTTGCCTGCATGTACATCTGTGAACCACTGGTGTGTCTGGCGACTGAAGAGGCCAGAAGAGGGCATCAGATGCCCTGGAACTGGAGTTACAGACATCTGTAAGCCACTATCAAGATGCTAGGATTTGGACCCAGTTTCTCTGAAAGAGCAGACAGTGATTTTAACCACGGAGCTATCTCTTCAGCCCCTTTTGTTTTTAAAGATTTATTTTTATTTTATGTATATGAGTCTTTCATGTATGTCTATGCACTGTATGTATGCAGTGTCCACAGAGGCCAGATCCCGAGTTACACAGAGTTGTGAGCAACCACATGGGTGCAGGGAATCAAACCCTGGATTTTCTGGAAGAACAACTGCTGTGGGATGGTCTGTATGTCAAGTGTGTTGCTAATTGGTCAATAAATAAATCACTGATTGGCCAGTGGCCAGGCAGGAAGTATAGGTGGGACAAGGAGGAGAATAAAGCTGGGAAGTGGAAGACTGAGTCAGAGACACTGCCAGCCGCCATGATGACAAACAGCATGTGAAGATGCCGGTAAGCCACGAGCCACGTGGCAAGGTATAGATTTATAGAAATGGATTAATTTAAGCCGTAAGAACAGTTAGCAAGAAGCCTGGCATGGCCATACAGTTTGTAAGCAATATAAGTCTCTGTGTTTACTTGGTCGGGTCTGAGTGGCTGTGGGACTGGCAGGTGAGAGAGATTTGTCCTGACTGTGGGCCAGGCAGGAAAACTCTAGCTACAAACAACCAGTGCTCTTAACGCTGAGCTATCTCTCCTACTGTTTTTTTTAATTTAATAAAAACATACTTATTTATTTATGTGTGTGCACACACACATGCAATTCCTGCCTTCGTGTGTGAATGTGTCATAGTGCATCTGTGGAGGTCAAAGGACAACTTTCAGCAGTCTGTTCTTCTTCCACCACGTGGCCTTGGATTTCAAACTCAGGTGTCATTCTTGGCAAAGCAATACTTTACCTGCTGAATAGTTCCCTTCCCTTTTGTTTTTAGTTTTTTCAAGACAGGGTTTCTCTGTGTAGCCCTGGCTGTCCTAGAATTAAGTATCTCTGTAGACCAGGCTGGTCTTGAACTCACAGAGATCTGCCTGTCTCTGTATCCTGAGTGCTGGGATTAAAGGTGTGGGCCACCACTTCTCAAGCAACTCTTTTTTAATTAAAAAAAAAACAGTTTTGATCATGGTATTATGGTATAATGTTAAATGAGGGCAATGAGATTGCTCAGTGGTTAGAGGTGCCTACCACCAGGCTTGACTACCTGAGTTCAGCTCCAAAACATGATAGAAGGCAAGAACTAACTCATAAAAGTTGTCCTCTGACCCACATACTCCAAGCACCATGGACCCCCAAATAAATAAATAAATAAATAAATAAATAAATAAATAAATAAATAAATAAATAAATATATAAATATATAAATAAATAAAAACTTTAAAAAAGTTATTTAAAAAACCTGAAAAATATATTGGAACTCTTTTCTTAACATTTTGAAAGCATGAAAAATTAAAAAAAAACAAAATGTATGAAATTAAATATTTATTTTATATGT